AGAGGAATCCTCTCACCTCTACAGGAGTCTACCTCAGGCAGTAAGAAGCCAGACCCTGAAACTGCTAGTCCATTAAATGCGCTCAAACACAAATCAAGGAACATGAAAGGCACTGCAGACTACTTCAACCAGACAAGTCAGCCATGGCAGAGCACTTGATGAACCAACTTGGACACAGCATATTATTTGAGAACACAGAAATGCTGGACCACTCTAAAAACCACCCTGTCAGACTACGCAGAGAAGTCACTGAAATCCACAATCATGTTGACAATTTCAACAGAAAAGAGGAAACCAGGAAAATTAACAAAATCTGGCTACCAGTATTAAAAAACTCTAAAATCAGGATAGTAAATAAAAAAAACAACACTCAAAAACAGGGGAATTTCAGACAAGAAACAATCAGGGTCGGCTATTTACCTCCCAACAAAAGAGTCCCCCAGGCAGTAAGAAGCCAGACCTTGAAACTGCTAGACCATTAAGTGCTAATCAAGGTGGTCAATTGCAATATTCACACCTATCTCAAACAGCCAAGAGTTCTTTCTCCCACCCTGGATACATTCCAGATATATAAACCCCATTTTCCTAGTTTACAGCAGACCTCTCAACCTCTGAGGACGCTTGCCATAGATGCAGATTAATGTCAGGAGAGAATGCTTCTGGAACATGGCCATGGAGCCCGGAAAACTCATAACAACCCAGTCATATGACAACTTGTGGGTCTTTCATTTATATGGTTACATAAGTTGAAATAAACTTAGATTAGAAAGACTTTCCTGGTCAGTCAGTCAGAAGAACTATACAGGCAGTCTCCAAGTTACAAGCAAGATAGAGTCTGTAGGTTTGTTCTTAAGTTGAATTTGTATGTAAGTTGGAAAAGGTACATTTTTAAAGTCCTACTCCAGCCAAAAATCTATATTTTCTTTTTGCTCTGAATAGCATAGGGAAAGGTTAACACTCCTGTGGTGTTTTGCTATCTGTGCCCCAGTTTAGAAGATTTCACCTCACTTTCGATCCCTGTGATAATTGGAATTTGAAAAAATAGCCTATTGGGGAAATAAGGATTGGTGATAATGATAAAGCTTCAGTGGAGGCACACACCCCCCCCCCCCCCATAACTTTAGGAATGAATGTCCCTTCCTAGGGGCAGATTTCTCTCACTTCCTGTTGTCTCACCCGAGTTCACTATGAGTTGCTTGTAAGTCAGAAGAATGCAATTCAAGGACTACCTATAGAATACTATACTATAGGCCAGGGGTAGGGAACCTTTGGCCCTCCAGCTGTGGTGGACTTCAACTCCCACAATTCCTTGAGGCTCAGCATTGGGCCAAGGTAAGCCTTTGAGGCGAATGCCGAGCCTCAAGGAATTGTGGGAGTTGAAGTCCACCACAGCTGGAGGGCCAAAGGTTCCCTACCCCTGCTATAGGCGATCACTCATGGTCTAGTCTTCCAACAGTAGAGCCTTGGCAAAGAGTCCATAAGTGACTTTGAAGACCTATTCTAGATCCACAGCTTAACAAAACATCTGCACGTGCTAGAGATGTATACTGCTGGACTGACTTGTTGACACGAATCAAGGCAGCTACCTGCATATTTCGAATTTTTATGCATTGATGAAAGCCTGAACTTTAGAATGCAATCAGTTCACTGCTGAAGTGATAGTAGTGTACATATTAGAACAAGCCCTGGTTATTTTTAGAGATGATTTTATTTCTCACATGTAGGTAGTAGCTTTCTTAAGCCAATGCATATTCTTGGAACCTGCTTCTGCTGTTCTGAAACTAGCAAGCACATGAAAATAAACACAAAAAAGGAAGTACACTTAACCCTTTTCAGATGTGCACAAACTTTCAGAGGCTGCTGCTGCCCTCTGCTGCTTGATTCCTTTCGAAATGAAATTCTCCAACTGCAATGCTAAATAGGCAGCATGATGTAGTGCAGGGGTCCTCAAACTTTTTAAACAGAGGGCCAGGTCACAGTCCCTCAAACTGTTGGAGGGCCAGATTATAATTTGGGGAAAAAAACATGAATGGATTCCTATGCACAATGCACATATCTTATGTGTAGTGCAAAAAACACTTTAAAACAATTAAATAATTAAAATGAAGAACAATTTTATCAAATATAAACTTACTAGTATTTCAATGGGAAGTGTGGGCCCATTGAAATACTAGTTGTTGTTGTTGTGTGCTTTCAAGTCATTTCAGACTTAGGTTGACCCTGAGCGAGGGCTGGGTAAATGACCTCGGAGGGCCGTATTCGGCTCTCGGGCCCTAGCTTGAGGACCCATGGTGTAGTGGTATGATCACTAGAGTATAACTCTGAAAACCAAGGTTCAAATCCCCACTCATGCCCTTCCAGACAGATCCTATATCCCAGGATCTGATACCAGGTTTTATGTTTAATCCTGATTATCTGCCAGTGTGGACTCATATAATCCAGTTTAAAGCAGAAAACCTGGGATCAGATCCTAGGATATAAGGTCTGCCTGGATGGGCCCGCTTGGTAACTTTGGGAAAGTTGCACCCCCTCAGCATCAGAAGAAGTAGGTAAGTAAAATTAAGTAAAACTTTATTTCGATTCCGCCCTATCTCCCTAGGGGGACTCAGGGTGGCTCACAACATAAAAGGAAAACATTTAATGTCATAAAATACAAAAATAGACTTACACAATTCAAAATAAACAAAACAGAGAATTCGACAATAAATCACATGAAAACGATAACAATAATTACCCACAACCAGAGAAACGGTGATGGACTGGACCAAACTTGGCACACAGAGCCCCCATGACTAATACAACCTACTGGAGAGGTTTGGGGCGCCTGACACACCATAGTGGGAGCTGTAGTTTGCCCTACAGCCAGAGAGCACACTGAACTCCACCGATGATGCATCCAGAGCAACTTGCCTAACTTAACAAACTTGAAGTACTGATGTTTGTGGACCGGGACATCCGTAGGGATACCAAGGTGCTTGTTTATAAAGATATTGTCCTCCCAACCCTGCTATATGCCTGCAAAACGTGGACTGTCTACAGACGTCACATGCAACTCCTAGAACAATTCCACCAGCGCTGCCTCTGGAAAATCCTGCAAATCTCTTGGGAAGACAAGTGGACAAATGTCAGCATGCTGGAAGAAGCAAAGACCACCAGCATTGAAGCGATGGTCCTCTGCCATCAACTCCACTGGACCAGCCACTTGTCCGGATGCCTGACCACTGTCTCCCAAAGCAGTTGCTCTGCTCTGAACTCAAGAATGGAAAACGGAATGTTGGTGGATAGGAAAAGATATTCAAAGATGGGCTCAAAGCCAACCTTAAAAGCTCTGGCATAGACACTGAGTACTGGGAAGCCCTGGCCTGTGAGCGCTCCAGCTGGAGGTCAGCTGTGACCAGCAGTGCTGCAGAATTTGAAGAGGCACGAATGGAGGGTGAGAGAAACGTGCCAAGAGGAAGGCGTGTCAAACCAAACCTGACTGGGACCGCCTTCCACCTGGAAACCAATGCCCTCACTGCGGGAGACGATGCAGGTCAAGAATAGGGCTCCACAGTCACCTACGGAGCCACTCTGAAGGATTATCCTACTTGGATAACAAGGGATCACCTAAGTAAGTATGTAAGTACTGATGGAGTTTCTCGGGGTTAACCAGGCATGATAGAATCATAGAGCTGGAAGAGACCTCATGGGCCATCCAGTCCAACCCCCTGCCAAGAAGCAGGAAAATCGCATTCAAAGCACCCCTGACAGATGGCCATCCAGCCTCTGTTTAAAAGCTTCCAAAGAAGGAGCCTCTACCACACTCCGAGGCAGAGAGTTCCACTGCTGAATGGCTCTCACAGTCATTAAGTTTATTTATTTATTTACGACATTTATATGCCGTCCTTCTCACTTTCTCATGTTCAGATGGAATCTCCTTTCTTCTAGTTTGAAGCCATTGCTCCATTGCATCCTAGTCTTCAGGGCAGCAGAAAACAAGCTTGCTCCCTCCTCCCTGGCCATCCAGCCTCTGTTTAAAAGCTTCCAAAGAAGGAGCCTCCACCACACTCCGAGGCAGAGAGTTCCACTGCTGAACGGCTCTCACAGTCAGGAAGTTCTTCCTCATGTTCAGATGGAATCTCCTCTCTTGTAGTTTGAAGCCATTGTTCCATTGCGTCCTAGTCTCCAGGGAAGCAGAAAATAAGCTTGCTCCCTCCTCCCTGTGGCTTTCTCTCACATATTTATACATGGCTATCATGTCCCCTCTCTGCCTTCTCTTCTTCAGGCTAAACATGCCCAGCTCCTTAAGCCGCTCCTCATAGGGCTTGTTCCCCAGACCCTTGATCATTTTAGTCGCCCTCTTCCTCTGGACACATTCCAGCTTGTCAACATCTCCCTTCAAGTTTGGTGCCCAGAATTGGACACAATATTCCAGGTGTGGTCTAACCAAGGCAGAATAGAGCATGGGGAGCATGACTTCCCTAGATCTAGACACTAGGCTCCTCTTGATGCAGGCCAAAATCCCATTGGCTTTTTTTGCCACTACATGACATTGTTGGCTCATGTTTAACTTGTTGTCCACAAGGACTCCAAGATCTTTTTCACACGTCCTGCTCCCAAGCCAGGCCTCATCGTCCCCCATTCTGTATCTTTACATTTCGTTTTTCTGCCTAAGTCAGGAAGTTCTTCCGAATGTTCAGATGGAATCTCTTTTCTTGTAGTGGGTCTCCTTTCTTGATGTGAGTTGTAGTTCACCTATAATCTTATGCATTTGGCACAATTAAAAACTGACTTTTTCAAATAATCCAGCCAACGCCCAAACTACTATATATATAAAAAAAAACATGACCAGGCTCTAAGCAGAAATGACTCCAGGCCGCAACACTGCGTTGCTATGGCAACCGGGAAGCGCTCCCGCGTCAGGCACCCGGCGCGACGCATGCGCACATGTCTCCTCCTCCACTGCCCGTCACGCCCTCAGCCTAAGCCCTGCGACTTAAGCGGTCACTTCCGGGTTTATTTTGTGCGCCTGCGCGGAGAGGGGAAGAGCCAGGCCTTCGTTCTGCGCGTGCGTCGCGGTCAAGGTGGTGGCTGCCCGGCTTGGCTCTTCTTCGATTTCGGCGCTTCTGGTTTCGTGAGCTCCCGCTTCAACCATGTCTTACGGGCCGTTGGAGACTTACAGGCCCGGGGGCTTTCCGCCCCGGGATTTCAACGCTATCATCCAGATCTGCAGCACCAATGTCCAGCGCCTGGCACAGAGCAGTGAGTCTATGGGACTAAGATGCAGCTTATATTTAAATGCCTAAACACTATACAAGGCATGGGCCAACTTGGGCCTTCCAGGTGTTTTGGACTTCAACTCCCACCATTCCTCACAGCCTCAGGCCCTTTCCTTTCCCCCCCTCAGCCGCTTAAGCGGCTGAGGGGGAGGGTTGGCCTGAGGCTGTTAGGAATTGTGGGATTGAAGTCCAAAACACCTGGAAGGCCCAAGTTGGCCCATGCCTGCACTATACCACAGTGGCTACATTGATGGTTTCCTCTCATCACCAAAAAGTTCCTACTACAGGCTCCCTTCTGTTCCCAGGCCAATCCTTGGATGGTTCAAAAAGTTGGTTTCAGCTGCTCATGCAAGGTGCCTAGTGAGTGAGCAAATGAGCTTCGGCTATTCATGCAAGATGCTTAGTGATAATAATAATAATAGTTTTAGTTTTATTTCTTGTTTGCCTCTTCTCACAAGCTCAAAGGGGGGGGGGGGTTTACAGCTTTACTAAAATGTAAACACATATTATTAATCTGTATAAATAAAAATGTAACCACCATGTCAGACTACACAGAGAAGCCGTTGAAATCCACAAGCATGTGGACAATTTCAACAGAAAGGAGGAAACCATGAAAAATGAACAAAATCTGGCTACCAATATTAAAAAACTCTAAAATTACAACAGGAAAACAACAGAGAGTAAACAATCAGGCACATATTAACACCTCTCAACAGGGGATTTTCCCAGGCTCAGCCAGGCCTTCAAATGCTAATGAAGGTGATCAGTTGAAACATTCACACCTAGCTCCAGCAGAGAAGAGCTCCTTGCCCCACCCCAGCCATTCCACAGATATGTAAACCCATTGTTCTAATTCCAACAGACCTCACTACCTCTGAGGATGCTTGCCATAGATGCAGGCGAAACGTCAGGAGAAATGCCTCTAGAACATGGCCCTATAGCCCGAAAAAAACCTACAAGAACGTATTCACACCTAGCTCCAGCAGACAAGAGTCCTTTGTCCCAACCTGGTCATTCCACAGATATATAAACCCATTTTCCTAGTTCCAACAGACCTCACTACCTCTGAGGATGCTTGCCATAGATGCAGGCGAAACATCAGGAGAGAATGCCTCTAGACCATGGCCATATAGCCCGGAAAAACCTACAACAACCGAATATAATGTTCGTTTGTGGGATTGACATAACTCAAAAACCACTGGACGAATTGACACCAAATGTGGATACAAGACACCTCTCAGGTCAACGAGTGACCATCACTCATAAAAACACCGAAAAGCACAATGGGAGAGACTAAAGGCCAAAAAAACCCACATTAGAACGCATGCGCAAAACCACATATATACACATATACACAAATATATACACACACAAAACACATATACACATTCTGGGCCCAACACAACGCATGGCAGGGGGCGGCTAGTTAAATCAACAAATTAACAACGCAAAGTCAATATAAAGTGAAAACAAACATATTAAATTGACACCAAACCATCATCCATCAATAAAACAATAATTATGTTGTTTAAAACCCATTAAAACATCTCAGTCACTGGTCTGGTTAAATAAACATAATAAAATCCAGTTAAAAGTTGTTTCCATTAAATCAACGGCTGGATGTTATTATATTTAATGGTGCTCCATGCAGTCATGCTGGCCACATTACTTTGGAGGTGTCTACGGACAATGCCAGCTCTTCGGCTTAAAAATGGAGATGAGCACCAACCTCCAGAGTCGGACACAACTAGACTTAATGTCAAGGCGAAACCTTTGTCATTTTATTGCCATAAGCCTGTTTATAAAGCCAGGCTTTCAATTCCTTCTGGAACATCAAAGCATAGAAGCTTGCCTGATCTCCCTGAGGAGGGTGTTCCAGAGCTAGTGGGCTACTACTGAGAAGGCCCTCTCCTTCATCCCCACCAACTGCGCTTGTGATGGAGGTGGGACTATGAGAAGACCCCCCTCCCCCAAAGCAGATCTTAAAGTCTGAACAGAGATGTGGTTGCATAAATAGTCAGGACCCAAACCGTATAGGGCTTTATAGGTAATAATCTGCACTTTGAATTGGGCCCAGAAACATATAGGCAGCCAATGGAGCTGCTTATCCAAGTCCTCAGTCTAGCTTGGAGGTCTGTTGTAGACCTCCTCGGCAACACTCATTTAGTTTCTTTTACACATTATTTTTCCCCAGATACACTCAACCTGGCTTCCAAGATTTGATAAACTCCTGCCTACGCAAATACTCTCCTAGATAACTCCGCTTAAAGCCCTTCTCGTCAAATGTGCGGGGCTCCTAGCAAAAAACATTTCTACCAACCTCTGGGAGGTGGAAGTCATCCTTTGCCAGAAGTCCAACTTTATTAAACCTCAGACCAGGAAGTCAATTTGTTTCTATCGGCACTATCTGCAAATACAGTTATTCACTTCTGTTATCCTTCTCTCCCTTCCTGGGTCACAGCCTTGAACTGGGAGAACAGATGAAATTATGACCTCAAGATCCTTCGGTTTCCTACCCATAGCCTCATAATCCTATGTGATCTACCCAAGGCTCGGCCTTGCATTGCCATTGGTTCCCACAGGCACCAAAATGATCTGTTGGATTGACAGGCTTTATCAGCCTGTGTTTTGTAATCATTATCTTTACAATAGCAAGAGAGTTTTTTTTTAATTCTCTGAATTTGACTATATTTCATTCATTGAAAGACAACTTTGTGTTGCATCAAAGAATTCAACACATTGGGAAGTGTGTTGGCTAGTGAAATTGCATTTTGAAATACTTTGCACATTACCGAAATTGAAGCCAATGCAATCTATTCAGATAAGCATAGTTTCTATCAGAATATGAGTTGAGACATATTTTCTTAGCAGCACCTGCTTCATGGATAACATGCATGGCAAAATTATAACAAATCATTACTTTTGCTTCTATAGCATCACAGATAAAGAACTTGATAAACCAGCTGGGAACCAAACAGGACTCCAGCAAACTGCAGGAAAACCTGTAAGTATCATCATTCTACACAATCCTTAACCTTGACATTATAGTGTCAAAGCAGAATATTGAGTGAGATGTTGAAATTCTTAGCACTAATGTCTGGGGTTGATGGAACAAATTATTAGAGTTAATGGAGAAGTATTTATTTATTTAAAACAGTTATACCCCGTCCTTCTCGACCTCCGGAACAGTTTTCAAACAGGCAACAATTTAATGCCAAACATAATATAAAACACATAAATACATGCATATACAATTAAAATAATTATAAATATATATTAAAATCACCAGAATTTAAATCGTCACCCAAATCAGTCCAAGTACGATCCAATAAAATCTTGTCTTCCCCAATAAACAAACTGTTCTGTGAATGCTTGATCCCGTAACCAGGATTTAAGTTTCTTCCGGAAGGTCTGGAGGGAGGGGGCAGATCTAACCTCATTGGGGAGGGAGTTTCACAGCTGAGAGGCCACCACGAAGAAGGCCCTGTCTCGTCCCCACCAAATGTGACTGCAGTGGTGGTGGGACCGAGAGCAGGGCCTCCCCGGATGATATTAAGGTCCTAGATGTAAAGGTTCAAGTAAAAAAACTTGTCTTAAATTGAGGACATGCCCAGTGTTCACTCTTCTTTTCAGTTTATTTATTATACTGAAAGGGTGTGTTTTTCCTGGAGTGTCCAGATTGAAAGTTGGGAATGTATTTTGCAGAGAGTTGTGATGATGACTCAAGCCACTGTCTTTTCTGTGACTGCTACTCCCTTTTCTGGATTCATGGATCACTAAGAGAAATTGGCTCATGTGGACAATCTTTCTCCTTCTATTCCTAGAAAGACTTACTGCCAGTTTTAGATCCCTCAAACTAGCTTTCCTGTGCGAATTGCTTCTCCCCCATAGAGCGCTAAAGTGAGAGGACTTTCACTTACAGCCACACCCCAAAGTCAGGCATAAGGTCTTAATGTTATGAAATTTCTCAGCCAAGTGTAATGGCTTCTGGATAACAGTTGGGCAAAGGTAAAGCGGCCTCTCTTTTATAGCCTGATATAAAAAGGCTTTCAATTTAGGAGTGCTTGTTGACCTCAGTAGCTCTGTAGCATGTGAAATGTTAACATTTTAGGACACATAACAGGGATTGTATGGCCATCACAACTCACTGCATAAGGAAACTAAACAAAAAAATATGGGTAACATTCTTCCAGTTCTGACATAATGTTACAATTTGAAGAATCTAGAAACCAAAGCTAAACAATGCATTTTTCACAGGCAACAGTTGCAGCACACAGCAAACCAACTCGCCAAAGAGACCAATGAATACCTGAAGGAATTGGGTTCCTTACCACTCCCCTTATCTACATCAGAACAGGTTTGTGAAGTCTTTCTGTAGTTTTGATGGATTGAAAGAAAACTATTATTTCTAATAGTACTTGTTGTGCTTTTAGATATTTGAGAGTACAGGCATTATGTTTGATGGGTTTATTTATTTTGTATCAAAGCATTGCATAAGTAAGTATAAAACTGATAAAAATAGGAGTACAAGCAGCGAAATATTTTTTTACCATAAATGGAAAACAATGACCGGATTATCTGTAACTTTAAACAATTCTTCCTCTGTACGTGAGGCAGGACATTGTGGACAAGCATACAGATGCAGAGTTGTTTGTTCTGCTCCACAGTCACCCAAGGTGGAGGATTATTTTAGGTAGTGCCATTTTCTCAGGTTGTCTTTTGATCTTCCCACTGCACTTCTGAGTCTGTTCAGGGACTTCCAAATTGCACATTCTTGGTTTGGTTTTAAACATGTTTGGTGAGTGTTAGAGGCCGCTTTCAGGCCACCCTCAGGCACACAATCAGGAAAAAATGGGGAAGAGAGAGCTTTTTTTCTAGGGAAGGGTGCTCTGTGCATCTCCAGAGGCACCTTGACTGATGCTGCTCCTTCTCCCCCTGCTTTTCCTTTCAGCCTTTCTCCTCCTCTGTTATTCCCCTTATTGCTCAGTGTTTGTTTTGCTTCCTATTAAGTTGAGTATATATGTATGTATATATCTATACATGTAAAATCTTAATTTATATATTGCTTTTTTCTTCCCAATTAAAATACAGAGCAGCTCACAGCATTAAAAATACAATTTAAAATCCACAAGATATTAGAATAGAATTAAATTAAACCATTTATTAAAATCCAATTAAAACACTTAAAAACCTTTAAACTGTTAAGGTGATCAAATACTCTGGCTTGCTCTTAAGAATTTTCTTCTTCATACACACACACACACACACACACTGCTAATAGTGATACCAAACAAGCTGTCAGAATTTAAAATACACTTAAAAACCTAATTCTCTGGCAGCCAATTTTTAATTCTGAATTTAAACTTGCATTTTATAACCACAAATGATTTTAATGTGTTTTAAAATTATGTCTGCCTTTTAATGTGTTTGGTGCAAGTTTTTTTATTTGTTGTATGCTTTTATTTGTGTAATTTATTGTATATATTTTATGTTCATATGTTTTTGAATTTGTTGTACCCTGCCTCGAGCCATCAGGAGGGGCAGGTAATAAATAAAATTATTATTATTTGATACACATTACACATCGGACACTTCCCAAGTGCCTAGGACTATGTGATGTATCAGTAATAATGCATGCAGATTCAAGCAGTGTGGCCTTTTGCAGCTGACAGATGGTAATTTTGTCAGTGCCAATTGTTTTTAAGTGCAGGCCAAGGTCTTTAGGCACTGCACCCAGTGTGTCAATCACCACTGGGACCACCTTGACTGGCTTGTGCCAAAGTCTTTGCAGTTCAATCTTTATATACTCATATCTTGTAAGCTTTTCCAGTTGCTTCTCTTCAATTCTGCTGTCGCCTGGGATTGCAACATCGATGAGTCCATGCTTTGTTTTTTTAACACGATCATGAGATCAGGAATATTGTGATCCAAAACTCTATCAGTCTGAATAATAATAATTGTTGTTGTTGTTGTGATTTTATCTATGTTGTACCTTACCCCAAACCTTGCAGGGAGGATGGTAACAAATAACAACAACACAGCCCAACAAAAAAATTATTGGTGTCTTGGTTTTCAGGCCTGTTCCTTGAATTATTTGAGGCACTGAATCTGAAAACTGTTTTGGATAGACTGCATCAGCTCTAGTTTCTTAGATATGGTTATCATAGTTTTGTATGGCCTAACAGAGGGTAACTGGTTGATGGCATATGCTCTGAATCTCAAAAACTAGAGCTGGTAGGGGAAAGCTGGTGCTATTTTTGGAATCAGAGTCAAATATACCCAGAAACAGAGTTTAGATTTGAGGCACTGTAGAGTTGGAAGAGATCCCCAGAACCATCCAGTTCAATCCAATTCTCCCAAGCAAGAAAACCCAGGCTCGATCTATGCTGCCATATAATCAAAATTATCAAATTTTCAATCCAGGTTATCTGCTTTGAACTGGATTATATGAGTCTACACTGCCATATAATCCAGTTCAAAGCAAATAATCTGGATTTTATATGGCAGTGTAGATGGGCTTCAGTCAAAGTTAAAGAATCCCTGGTCTATGTGAAATAAGCAATCAATCATATATTTTAAAATATATAAATGCAATGATTTGTCCCCCAAAATTTTGTATTTACAATTTATGTATGTGTCTGCATCTATTATAAGTGGTTGGTTTAAACTTCGGTTTGCCAGTGAAACTGAATTACTATGTATCAAAATGATACAGGTCTAAAAAGTGTCACCAACATTAAACATTTGGTAAGCATTGCTCTAGAGTTACAGTAACAGATGTAAGATGGTTGGGCTAGAAATAAGGGAAGAAGAAATGTATGAAGTTGTTGAGTTTTCTTTGGTATTGTTGGTACAATAAATGACAAGACAATTCTCTGTTTTGTAGCGCCAGCAGAAGCTTCAAAAGGAGCGCTTAATGAATGACTTTTCTGCGGCCTTAAATAACTTCCAAGCAGTGCAGAGAAGAGTGTCAGAAAAAGAGAAGGAAACTGTCGCCCGGGCAAGAGCTGGTTCCCGACTCAGTGTAAGTTGTTGGCCAATCCATTACTAAATGCAATGTCTGGCTTTGATGCTTTGTTGAAATATAGCTACTTTTTATGAAATTTCTTTTGCATAGTCTCTTATTGATCTGGCCATATTTAGTTCTAGTTTTAGCCAGATTCCATCGCTGATCCTCCATGCTGCCTGTTTGTGAAGGCTGAAGTGATTCTCTCCACTTTTCAGCAGGCATGATACTGAAATAGGGATTCAGTATGACGTGGTTCAAAAATCTATCTGGATTCCAGTTTGGAGGTGGTGGATTTGAAGTGGCTTGCCCTACAATATTTTTGGAACATGACCTTCCCTCCTTCATTCATTTCCTTTTTTGACCCTGTCAAAATTCAAGAGCCATTCCACCATTAGTATTGATATTGTACAAGTTGGCTGAATGATGTAAGAGAAACAGGTTTTGTGTTCAAACCTCAGTTGACTATACATATGATCAGGTGGAAACTTTTTTACTACTACCACTATGACTACTGGTACTAATCCATATGAGCAGTGACTTTGTTTATTGACTTTGGAAACCTGGTCAAAAAGACAGCCTTGTGAGTTATTTTCTCTTGGACATGAGATATTGCAAAATCTTCTGGTGTGTGTGTGTGTGTGTGTGTGTTTAATGTTATGTCTATTGAAATCAGCAGGAAGTTCAGGCTAGTGTTGTACTAAATGTTCTTATGGTTACATCACATTCTCCCAACTTGTTGTAATACAAATCCTGCCTTGCCTGACTTAGAACCAATTTGTTTTTACAGGCAGATGAGAGGAGCAGGGAAGAACAGTTGATGTCATTTGACAGGTAATATCTGTTGCTTTGAGAAAGTCCTTACCTCTGTCCCTTCAAATACAAAAATGTTCATGTTTCAACTTATTTATTTATCACATTTATATCCCACCCGTCACACCCCGAAGGGGACTCAGGCTGGCTCACAACAAAGGCACACTTTAATGCCATGAATATATATATAAAATTAAAATAATATATACTTTAAAGTCACATAATTAAAACATATAACTTAAAGCAGTTACTTAAAATCACAGAGTCCAAAAGCATATTCCAGGAGCCATTCCAATTGTCATTTGCATTGTTCATTATTGCACATTGTTGCACTGGGAATCATTGTGCAAATGCTTGGTCCCATAACCATGTCTTCATTTTCTTCCTAAAGGTCAGGAGGGAGGGAACTGATCTAATGTTGCTGGGGAGGGACTTCCATAGCTGAGGGGCCACCACCAATAAGGCCCTGTCTCTCATCCCCACCAGTTGCAACTGCAAGAGGGGTGGGATCGAGAGCAGGGCCTCCCCCAACTATTTTAACCTTCAAGATGGTTCACAGGGAGAGATATGTTCAGACAGGTAAACTTAGTTACCCTAATAATTTAGGGCTTTATAGGCTAAAGCTAGCACTTTGAATTGTGCTTAGTAGAAGACTGGCAGCCAGTGGAGCTGGTGCAACAAGGGAGTTGTGTGCTCCCTGTACTCCACTCCAGATAGAAACCTGGCTGCTGCCCGCTGGACTCCTTGAAGCTTCCAGTAAACCTTAAAAGCAGCCCCACATAGAGCATGTTGCAGTAGTCTATTTGAGATGTAACAAGATCATGGACTACCGTGGCCAAATCTTCCTTTCTTAAGAAGGAAGACATGCACAGCATATAACTCAGGCATGGGCAAACTTGGGCCCTCCAGGTGTTTTGGACATCAACTCGCACAGTTCCTAGCCTCAGGCCCTTTCCCTTTCTCCCTCAGCTGCTTAAGCGACTGAGGGGGGAAAGGAAGGAGCCTGAGGCCAGGAATTGTGGGAATTGAAGTCCAAAACACTTGGAGGGCCCAAGTTTGCTCATGCCTGGTATACTCATTCCTGTTGCAAATACTTTTCAAACTTTTGATTTTTAGCAAGAATGGTTGGATTCTGAAGTTGCAACTAAGTCATTATATATGTGATTGGGATGTACCCTGGGCTCTTTGTACCAGTAGATCCCTCACTTGCATCCGAGTTTGCAAAAGTTCATCTTGGCAAGATATAGTATCCTTAAACCACAGCATCTATCCAAATTAGAATTGGGTATCCAAGTTAAATCATGGATGAAGTTCTGGATTGAAAGTAAAAGATGGTGTGTCCACTGAAAATAAACCAAAATATCTGGAGGACATCAGGTTGTGAAAAGCTGGCTGAGCACAAGTTTAGCCACCTTGGAGAGTACCTGTCAGTATATTTTAAAATGTGCTGCTTCTCCTCTAAGATTGATACAGGTGTTTTGAGATAAACAGGTCTCTTATTACTGCAACATGCTCTACGTGGGGTTGCCTTTGAAGACTGTTCGGAAACTTCAATTAGTCCAACGGGCGGCGGCTAGATTACTCACCGGAGCATCATACAGGGAGCATACCACCCCCCTGCTATTTATTTTATTTATTTATTTACTTTACTTGTATACCGCAGTTTCTCAGCCCAACAGGCTACTCAACGCGGTTTACAACAAAGATAAGAATCAATCAACGATATACAATTTAAAACCATAAAAGCATAATATACAATATTGACACAACAATAGACAACACAATGCATCTCATAACTAGAGTCGTGATCCAATCCGTCGTCCAAATTTCCATTCCTGTAATCATCACATTCATTGCACTGTTTAACCGAATGCCCGTTCAAACATCCAAGTTTTTAATCTTCTTCGGAACACCATTAGCGAGGGGGCTGATCTTACCTCCATAGGAAGGGCGTTCCACAGCCGGGGGGCCACCACAGAAAAGGCCTGTCTCTCGTCCCCGCCAGCCGCACCTGTGAAGCAGGCGGGATAGAGAGCAGGGCCTCCCCAGAAGATCTTAGGGTCCTGGCGGGCTGATAGGCAGAGATACGTTCGGATAGGTAACTTGGGCCAGAACCGTTTAGGGCTTTATAGGCCAACGCCAGCACTTTGAATTGAGCCCGGTAGCAAATCGGCAGCCAGTGGAGCTGGTGCAGCAGAGGAGTTGTATGCTCCCTGCGCTCCGCTCCAGTTAGCATCAATTCAAAGTGCTGGTTTTGACCTACAAAACCCTTTACAGCTCCGGCCCAGCATACCTGTCCGAACGTATCTCCTTCTACGTCCCACCTCGGAGTTTAAGATCTGCTGGGGAGGCCCTCCTCTCGGCCCCACCTTTATCACAAGCGAGACTGGTGTGGACGAGGGACAGGGCCTTCTCGGTGGTGGCCCCTCACCTGTGGAATGCACTCCCCGGGGAAATTAGGACATCAACATCCCTCCTCTCCTTCAGAAGGAAGCTAAAAACCTGGATATGGGACCAGGCCTTCAGGTAAGCTGGTAGATGGACAAAGACAACCAATATGACCAGAGTAGGAAAGGACAATGACGATGCTAGATGGTTTACGGACTTGGATTTGGTGAACATTGACCACAAGATGTTTTTATTGCTGCTAGTATACTGTTTGATTGTTTTAGTTAGTTATAACTGTGACATTATATGGTAAATTTGTGTATTGTATATTGTATTGTATTTTGTGAATTGTTAGGCATTGAATTATGCCTTTTGTAAGCCACCCTGAATCCCCCCTAGGGGGTTGAGAAGGGCAGGGTAGAAGCACCTCAAATAAAATAAATGAGTAAATAAATAAATAATTTCAAATATATCATATCCCGCATGCCAACACCACTTCAGTATAGTTAAAAGCATTCACAGCTGCTTCTAGATTATCATGGTATACCTTAAAGAGATTCTATGCTTCTGAGATGTGCTTGTGAACACATTTACATTCTAAGAAATGGATCACAGTAAATGCAAACGATATTGGACAATATTCTTTTACAATCAAAAGGTCCTACATTAAATTGAACAAAAAATAATTTAACCTTCACTGACTGGATGCCCAACAGCCTCCATAGCATCTAGCCAGCATGGCCAACAATCATGGTGAGTGGAAGAATATGCGAGCTGAAATCACAGATAGTTGAAGGACACTCAATTTAGGAAGACTGCAGCTGCAGTAATAGAGGTGTAAATTGTTATTTCTCATTCTTCCTCAGCAATGAAGAATGGAACCAGATGCAGTCTCAAGAAGAATATGAGGCAATAACAGAACAAGACCTTGAACTAATTAAAGAGAGAGAAACTGCCATTAGAAAAATAGAGGTAAGTGGCGTAGGGTTTTACATTATTTTGTTGAAAGAAGTCCTAAGATAGATATTCTGGAGAGCTGATGTCCTTTGAAGTTGCCCCCACTATTTTTTTATTCCACTTGCACTGTCTTCTCTGTCTTATTAGCTGCTTTCTTCAGGATCATCAGAAATGAGCGAAAATAGTGTGCTCATGTTATTTTTGGCATTGTTAGACTGCTTGATGCTTAGATGTCTTTTCAGCATTGTTCATAACTCACTATTTTTGAACTAGGAGGGATCGGGCACCAGTGAGCTGAGAAATGCTATAAATTATTCCACGTGTTAGGTCTACATGTACTCCAGGTTCAGGAGTTTCCAAGCGCATGGTGATCCCCTTGCATTTGCTGAAAATGTGGAGGATATAGTTCTCTCCGTTTGTAAAGCAAAGTGTATGGAAGGGAAAGCAATCAATTGGAATATGATGAAAATAGGTTAGATCAGGGGTCCTCAAACTATGGCCCGGGGGCCGAATACAGCCCTCCAAGGTCATTTACCTGGCCCTCGCTCTGAGTCAACCTAAGTCTGAAACGAATTGAAAGCAAACAACAACAACAACAGCAATCCTATCTCATCAGCCAAAAGCAGGCCCACACTTCCCAATGAAATACTAATAAGTTTATATTTGTTAAAATTGTTCTTCATTTTAATTATTATATTGTTCTAAAGTGTTTTTTGCACTACAAATAAGATATGTGCAGTGTGCATAGAAATTCATTCATGGTTTTTTTTCAAATTATAATCCGGCCCTCCAACAGTTTGAGGGACTATGACCTGGCCCTCTGTTTAAAAAGTTTGTGGACCCCTGGGTTAGATGGACAGATCTGTTGGCTCAGTCAAATTCCTGTGGTTTGGAATGGAATGGAAGAAAAGGACAAAATGTCACCTGCGTTTTGAACTTTATTAACATTTTGAAGCCTATTTAAGAGGACAGAATCATAGAGTTGGAAGAGACTACAAGGGCCATCCAGTCCAACCCAAGATATTCTTTGTGTGAATTTTTGTTATTGCTGGAGTTGGGTAAGGAAGAGTTAACTGAAACAAGAGGTCTTCCTTTCCTTCCTCTTACCCAAATCAAATCTTATTTGCATCAAACCAATGTCCTTTAAATTTTATATGAACTTAATGCAGTTCAACACATCTACATAAATCACTTAATGCAGAAGAGGTGTGGATCTGTGCCATGGTGTCCATGGTGCCATATGGAGCTGATCTGGGGTAATACATCAATGTCATCTTAATAGGGTCTTGCCTCACATTAGCCAAATTTTGTAATATTCTGAATTCTGGAACAGAATTACTTAGTATACAAGACAAATGCAGCTTATACCAGATTCCAGTCATGATCCTACTTCGAAAAGATTATGGGGGGGAAAACTTGGGTTTAATAATAGCAGACATAATCATAGCAGACAAAGTACAAAAGCAACACTGTATGAGTTCATTGTTAGCACAAATTAGTGCACTTTGTGTTAAGCTAGTGTGATGATAGTACAGTAGCCACATCTGTGGAAGGCATCCTCAGAGGTTGTGAGGTCTGTGGAATGTCTCAAGCAGAGAAGAGTTCTTTCTCCCACCCTGGACATTCCACAGATATATAAACCCCACTTGCCTAGTTTCCAACAGTCCTCACAACCTCTGAGGATGCCTGCCATAGATGCAGGCGAAATGTCAGGAGAGAATGCTTTTGAAACATGGCCAGACAGCCCAGAAAACTCACAACAACCCAACTATCAGTTTCTTATAGATGAGCAATACATTTTCTCTGATAGAAATGAGCAATACATTCTCTCTAATTCTGGAGAAGGCTTTATTTTTTATTTATTTATTTATTTATTTACTTCTTTTGTATACCGCAAATATCAGCCTAAAAAGGCGACTCGAAGCGGTTTAATTTTTTAATGGCAAAAACCTTTGTGGACCTTCCACGGATATATAAACCCCACTTGCCTAGTTTCCAATAGACCTCACAACCTCTGAGGATGCCTGCCATAGATGCAGGTGAAACGTCAGGAGCGAATGCTTCTGGAACATGGCCAGACAGTCCGGAAAACTCACAGCAACCCAGTGATTCTGGGCATGAAAGCCTTTGACAACAAACTGATAGTTGTTCTCAGGTTCACGGCAGATTGGAGCTTTCTCGGCATTGGAAGAATGTCTCTCAATTATTAGCAGTTCAGTAGAACTGCAGAATTTGGTCAGTGGCTTAATGGAAATTTCTACGAATGCAACTAAATGAAACAAAGAGGAGGCAGTTATAATACCATCTTTGAGGTTCGGAAACATAAACCTATAGAGTTGGAAGGGCAATCTAATCCAATTTTTACCTAGCCTTTTCTGATGAATCTTCTAATAATCATTTTCCACTATTTTTAATGGCATTATAGCAGTTTGCATGGCGTTCTTTACAATGTTTCTGCAATCCTAATGATTAAATAAATATTGTAATTTATTTATTCCTGATTAAGTAACTTTATTAAGTGCCTGTTCATCATATTTTAATTGATTGTTACTGGTCATAAAGTTGCAAAAAAGTGGCTTTTTAGGAGCTCAAATAGCTGTAGGAGGAAAATGAGTGGAAAAGACTTGTCATACATGCACCACTCTGTCTGTTGATTCTTTAGAGTTGAGGCACATTCGAGAATTACTCATTTTCTTAGTTTTCATTTAATTATATTTCTATAAATATATGGGCAATGCAGAAAAAATACAATAAATCTTTTCAATATTCCTGTCAGGCAGATATCCTGGATGTGAATCAGATATTTAAAGATTTGGCTATGATGATCCATGATCAGGGAGACATGATTGGTAAGTGTATACCAGCATTTGCTTCATGTTGGCTGAGGCACTTCATCTGCTTTTATATGTTTTAATGTTTTTGGTTGTCCAGATGACTTGCCAAGTTTCATTTGAATTTGGTGGGGTGGGGGGGGGGGTCTGCAGTAAATAGTGCAATATAGTTTGAGCTGGGAATGAGCAAGACTTTAACTGATCTCAAGGCTGCTCTATAGCACACAAGATAAACACCATCTTCCTCCAGAACCTCTTACAGAGCATGTGTAGACAGCACAATAGAAAGAAGAACCGATAAGCTATAAATGGTCTCTAGAAAATTCACAATGTTTTTGTTTACTTTTGCAAGGTTTTTTTGTGTTTTGTTTTCACGTGATTTCTAAAGCACCAGAGCAGTCACTAAGAAGGCTGTCCCTTGTTCCTATCAAATGTGCCTCTGAAGGTGATGGGACAGAGAGAAATCCATCCCTAGGAGATGTCAAAAGCATAAGCTGGGTCATATGCAGAAATAAGGCCAATAAGATAACCTCAGGTTGGAAACAAACCAGAAGCCAGTGAAGCAGTTGAAAGGAGTGGCATTCTCCCAGTAGCCATCCCCAGTTAATAATCGGGCATAGTTGTTCTCCATCATTTCTAATAACAGGCCACTAGTTATCATTGGGGGGGGGGGGGCTGGTGGCACAGCAGATTAAACTGCTGAGCTACCGAACTTGCTAAATGAAAGGTTGATGGTTCGAATCCGGGGAGCAGGGTGAGCTCCCACTATTAGGACCAGCTTCTGCCAACCTAGCAGTTTGAAAACATACAAATGAGGTGCTTCATGCAGTCATGCTGGCCACAAGACCTTGGAGGTGTCTACGGACTATGCCAGCTCTTCAGCTTAGAAATAGAGATGAGCACCATCCCCTAGAGTCAGACACAACTAGACTTAACATCAGGGGAAACATTTACTAGTTATAATGGATGAGATAAAAGATATTCTTTAGTCCTATCTGGGTATCTCTGTTATTTTTATTTATTTATTTTTTGCAGTGGTTTTATAGTGTGACACAGAGTTTATCATAGGAGTGGTATATAGTCTACTACAAAGTCATCCATCTGTATTTTGTTATTGTTTCTCTTCTTCTGTACAGATAGCATAGAAGCAAATGTAGAAAATGCAGAAGTCCACGTGGAAAATGCCAATGATCAGTTACAGAGAGCTGCTTATTATCAGGTAACACGTCTGCAACCATGTATTTATTGTCACTTAGCAATGAAACAAGAAACCATAAGTCTTACATGAGAGTTGAATCAGTTATCCTTGCTGACTTTCTGTAGACAAAATAGTTTACCCTCTTGTCATACATATTCAATCTAAAGGAAAGAGGTATAACATATATATTTCTCCTTGTTGTTTCAATCTCTAGTGGACACTTTTAGACTCAAACTTATGAAAAATAGTTTTTTTTCTCTATGAAGAGTAGATGTTTCCTTGGTATCAAAATAATAAGAGTGCCAGCATGGTAAAGTGGTTTGAGCCATGGAAACCCACTGGGCAACCTTGTGCAATTCACACTCTTAGCCTCAGAGAAGGCAAAAGCATCCTTCCTCAGAACAAATCTTGTCAAGAAAATCCTGTGATGGGTTCACCTCAGGGTCAGTGAAAATCCTGTGATGGGTTCACCTCAGGGTCAGAAACAACAGAAACACACACACAAAAGAGCAATGCATCCCAAGAGCACGATCATTATGTAACTTAAGAGTGCTACTACTAGGAAAGCCCTGCAAGCTTCCTCCCTTACTTCATTAAGCTAGAGAGTTATAAAAAATGAGGCATCAATATAGCGTGGAAGCTGTCCTTAGAAGAAAAGAGTAAAAGGGCACTACACTTTGCATACAGATTCACCTTTATCTCTAAATAGGCACCAATCGCAAAACAAATCCTATAAATGCTTTGCATTCGTGGCATAAGCATTTATTGAGAAATGCCAATTTCCTTAAAACAGTGGTTCTCAACCTTCCTAATGCCACAACCCCTTAATACAGTTCCTTATGTTGTGGTGGCCCTCAACCATAAAATTATTTTTGTTGCTACTTTATAACTCTAATTTTGCTACTGTTATGAATCTTAATGTAAATATCTGATATGCAGGATGTATTTTCATTCACTGGACAAAATTTGGCCCTAATACCAGATGCACCCAAATTTGAATACTGGTGGGGTTGTGGTGATTTTGTCATTTGGGAGTTGTTGTTGCTGGGATTTATAGTTCACCTACAATCAAAGAGCATTCTGATCTCCACCAACAATGGAATTGAACCAATCTTGGCACACAGAACTCCCATGACCAGCAGAAAGTACTGGAAGGGTTTGTTGGACATTGACCTTGAGTTTGGGAGTTATAGTTCACCTACATGCAGAGAGCATGGTAGACTCTAAAACAATGATGGATCTGGACCAAACTTGGCACGAATCCTCAATATACCCAAATGTGAACACTGGTGGATTTTGGGGAAAGTAGATCTTGACTTTGGGAGTTGTAGTTGCTGGGATTTATAGTTCACCTACAATCAAAGAGTATACTGAACCCCACCAATGATAGTATTGGGCCAAACTTCCCACACATAATCCCCATGACCAACAGAAAATACTGTGTTTTCTGATGGTCTTTGGCAACCCCTCACGACCCCCCCAGGGGCCCCAACAATAAACGCTGTCTTAAGATGACATGTTCTTTATGTTTACATTACATTGCATGTTACTAAGTCACAGCTTCATCCTCGTGTGGACTCTTGGAACTGAGTTTGTCCTGTCCTTCCTAATACTACCTTGTGCTTTATTGTAGTTGTTGAGGCAATGAAAGAATGGAAAAGTATTTACGACTTGTATCTGAGTTCATAACATTCCAATGTGCTTGAGGCCTTTAGTAGTGAAAATGTTAACAGTTTTGGAAGTTCAGTTACATTTTAACAGCAGTTCATTGTTCAAGGTGTAAGTAGGTAGTTTCTATTACTGTTACGATTTTAAAAGTAATTTTCCAATTGTTTCTTTTGCCATATTCTTAGTATAGATTTTTTTCTGTTTTTGTTTCACCTTAATAGAAAAAATCTCGTAAGAAGATCTGCATCCTGATTAGTGGTCTGGCTGTGGTTGTTCTAATCTTGGGATTACTGATCTGGTACACAGCAAAATGAAATGTTTTACATGAAATTGAATTTGTTATTGTTGCTTTTTCCCCACCAGAGAAAAATGGGTAGACGGGCCTGTGGAATAAGTTGATTATGATGAGATGGAACAGAAATCTGGTTTTCCTCTAGTAGTTGTACTATATAGAAGCTAACATGAAGATAGGTAGTTTGTGGACTTAGTAAACCACAAAGGCAGTATTTATCAGCTAATGTAAGGTTATTTTATGTAACTGAACTTATCTTGTGAGGTATTTTTTTGTTTAATATATTGCCATTTTGAATGTAAACGCGTTAACAAGTGTGATAATCTATATGATTTAATGACATATGCACTACAGATGTAACATTTTTAATATGTACTTCCTTTTTACAAATGAATTGCATAGGAATAACTTTCATGAAGGGCAAAATCTCACCAACTCTCGTACAAATCTCTTGTGATCCAAAGTGCTGCTTAGGTCTGTGCTCATTGGCAGTGGGCATCTATGTTTCTTTTAAAACAATTCCTGGGCTACACCATAATAATAGTGCAGGGAATGTGTGATATTCCATATGTTACACTGCAATATCAGTTCCAGCAAAAACAGCCAATGCCAGTAGTTTATGACAATTGCAATTCAAAAATATCTCAAGGAGGGATGTTTCCCATCCCTCATGCACTGCTTCTGAAACTTCAGATGTTTTATAAGGCAGCACAGTGGGCTCAGAGAAAAGTCTAACCTCTCATGGCATACAGAAGTAAATACGTTTTCTATATTGCAGGATTTTTTTAACTTGTCAAAAAAACTTAAGCACCTCCATTTAAAAATGGCAAACATAGTGAAAAATGTTGGGGTCATCTGGGTTTGAAAAATGTTCTTAGTAATATCTAGTTCACTTAGCAGACAGCTTAGTGTCGTCTAACAGGCCTTCTCCTGGTTGCATTTTTGTGGTGATAGTAAATAATTTAATAGTGTCCAAACTTCTTGTTGCCCAATGAGGTTGTAATTGTTGGTGAGCTGCTCTTCTTCCCAGCTGTGGACCGGTAGCACATGTATTGAACACTACCATTTATAAAATTGCACAGGGTATGAAATAGGTGATAACCAAGGTAGCATAGAAAAGAGTCAGCCATTTCATTGAAAATGAAGGCATATATTTGTGTCCTTCTGATAGGTTTCTGGTCTTTGTAGTAGAGCTGTCTGAGAATTATCACTTTTCTCACTATCGTTTGCGAGAAATGGCTTTCAAATATAGTCGGAAACCACAGGAATGTGCTACAACATGGTTTGGGCTTGTACTCACTCCATTTCTTCATTTCTCACATATGAAAGGTGAAAATGGCTTATTTTAGTGTAGAAGCTATAATCAATTTCTTGATTTATTGTCGAAGGCTTTCATAGCCGGAATCACTGGGTTGTTGTGAGTTTTCCGGGCTGTATGTCCATTTTCCAGGAGCATTCTCTTCTGACGTTTCACCTGCATCTATGGCACGCATCCTCAAAGGTTGTGAGGTCTCACAACCTCAGAGGATACCTCTGAGGAGAAACGTTAGGAGAGAATGCTTCTTGAACATGGCCACATGGCCCGGAAAACTCACAACAACCCAATTTCTTGATTATTATAAGTGAGCTTATAAACCCATGCACATTCTCAGATTTAAAATTAGAGTATCCGGAAAAGCTCATACCATGATCCCACTCCTCAGACATAACTTATTGAAAAAGTTTTAATTGAAAGGTTCTTATACAGAAAAATAGCTACATCTTTCCACTGACACACATCTTTTTTTAAAAAAAATTATGAATTTAAAAAATATTAAACTGTGAAAGTTGGTGTTGGAAAGGAATGATGCCCTCAGTTGCACATCTTTCTTTGCACTATTTCTCTGTCATTCCATCTTCTTAACAACAATAAACGTTTAAAAAAGTATTTGACATTGTCTTTTCTTTGGGTTCACCATAGATCAAAGTTTTAAAAACTCTTTAACTGCCTGGGAAAATTGCTGTCTTCATGTATTTTTTAATGTGTGTCAGGAACAACTTGAGAAACTGCAAGTCGCTTCTGGTGTGAGAATTGGCCCTCTGTAAGGACATTGCCCAGGGGATGCCTGGACATTTTGATGTTTTACCATCCTTGTGGGAAGCTTCTCTCATGTCCCAGCATGGAGAACTGGAGCTGACAGAGGGGGCTCAACCTAATCTCCCCGGATTCGAATCACTGACCTATCAGTCAGCAGTCCTGCCAGCACAAGGGTTTAATAATAATAATCATCATCATCATCATCTTTATTTATATTCCACTTTTCTCCCTCACGGAACCCAAAGCAGCTTACAACACATTAAAATAAAGTAAACAACAATCCATATACATTGGTAGGGTTGTATACTCTCACCCAACCTATTCAACTTCTATGCAGAACACATCATGCAATGTGTGGGGCTTGATGAATACACAGCTAAGGTTAAAATTGCTGGAAGAAACATAAACAACCTTAGACATGCAGATGATACCACTTTGATGGCCAAAAGTGAGGAAGAGTTGAGGAGCCTTCTAATCAAGGTGAAATTTCTAGTTGCAGACGCAGACTGCAACCAGGAAATCAGAAGACTTTTACTTCTTAGGAGAGCAATGATCAATCTCAATAAAATAATGAAGAATAGAGGCATCACACTGGCAACGAAGATCTGCATAGTTAAAGCAATGGTATTCCCCGTAGTAACCTATGGATGTGAGAGCTGGACCATAAGGAAGGCTGAATGAAGGAAGATGAACTGTGGTGTTAGAGGAAAATTCTGAGAGTGCCTTGGACCGAGAGAAGATCCAACCAGTCCATACTCCAAGAAATAAAGCCCAACTACTCACTGGAGGGAAGGATATTAGAGGCAAAGATGAAGTCCTTTGGCCACATCATGGGAAGACAGGAAAGCTTAGAGAAGACAATTACGCTGGGGGAAAATGGAAGGAAAAAGGAAGAGGGGCCAACCAAGGGCAAGATGGATGGGTGGTATCCTTAAAGTGACTGGCTGGACCTTGAAGGAGCTGGGGGTGGTGACGGCCGACAGGGAGCTCTGGCATGGGCTGGTCCATGAGGTCACGAAGAGTCGGAAGCGACTGAACGAATAAACAACAAATATACATCGATAATAAGTATAAAACAACATAAAATAAGAAGTTTAAAACAATAATATACATTCCCATTTTTGTGGCTTCAGGTCAGATTATATTAGACTTTGATCCAGTCTGTAACATTATGGTATTTCTTATACCATATGGGTACAGGAAGCACACAACTCCCTTGTTGCACCAGCTCCACTGGCTGCCAATTAGCTTCCGAGCACAATTTAAAATGCTGGTTTTAACTTACAAAAACCTATACAGTTCGGTCCCAGTTTACCTGTCTGAATGTATTCTCCCCTATGAACCATCAGGGCTGCTAAGATCTTCTAGAGGGGCCCTGCTCTCGGTCCTACCACTTTCGCAGTTGCGTCTGGTGGGAACGAGAGACAGCCTTCTCTGTGGTGGCCCCTCGGCTATGGAACTCTCTCCTGAATGAAATGAGATCTGCCCCCTCCCTCTTGACCTTCAGGAAGCTACTAAAATCATGGGTATAGAACAACGTATACCCAGAATGATGGCTGAGACCAGCAATTGACCAAAGTTATGGACCACAAGATGCAGACTGAATTGGACATGATTTTATCTTGGCGAATTGGCTTATATGTATTTTATTCTATATGTATTTTAATTCACTGTTGATGTTTGTTGTTAGAGCAGTGGTTCTCAACCTTTCTAACACCGGGACCCCTAAATATGGTTCCTCATGTTGTGGTGATCCCCAACCATAAAATTATGTTCGTTGCTCCTTTATAACTGTAATTTTGCTACTGTTACAAATCGTAATGTAAATATCTGATATGAAGGATGTGTTTTAATTGTTACAAGTTCAACATAATTAAAGCATCATGATTAATCAGAAAAAATGGATTTGCAGTACGTTCAACCGATTCAGCGCTGACTTCCATAGACCACTGAGACCCTCCACACAGAACTCCCATGTCAAACAAAATATACTGGAGGGGTTTGGGAGGAATTGACAGTGATTTAGGGGAGAGCACCTACATCTGGAGAGCATTGTTAACCCAAACAACTATGGATCTGGACCAAACGTGGCACGAATATACAATATGCCCAAATTTGAACACTATTGGAGTTTAGGGAAAATAGACTCTGACATTTGGGAGTTGTAGTTGCTTGGATGTAAAGTTCACCTGCCATCAAAGAGCATTCAGAACTTCACCAAAGAGCAAGGCAGGTGAAGCAGGCTTTGTGCGAGACCAGGCCTCGCATGGAGGACCCCTCGCCTGCCCCGTGCCCCCGCCAGATGGTGAGAGCGAGGCAGGTGAGGTGGGCTTTGCACAAGGCCAGGCCTCGCGCGGAGGATCCCTCACCTGCCTCGCGCTCTTGCCAGATGGCGAGGCATGCGAGGTGGGCTTTGCACAAGGCCAGGCCTCGCACGAAGGAGCCCTCGCCTAGCCTGCCACCTTGGGGCGGGGCCAACGGAGGCGGCCTCACAACCCTCCGAAATGGCCAGCCAACCCCCGGGTTGAGAACCACTGTGTTAGAGTGTTTTGATATTTTAGATTGTACTGTTAGCACTGAATCCTTGCTGTTAGCTGGTCTGAGTCCCTCTATGGAGGTAAAGAAGATCGAGATATAAAAATTTTAAATAAATAAATAAATCACTCCAGCTTAGTTTCCTTCATTAAATGACTGTGCCACCAGGGGCTTGCCTTCATGTATGATAATGTTCAAATATCATCATCATCATTGGCTATTACTTACTTACTTAGGCGATCCCTCGTTGGCCGAGTAGGATAGTCTTCCAGGATCAGTATTCTGCATCTTCTCCCGCAGTGAGGGCACTGGTTTCCAGGTGGAAGGCGGTCTCAGTCGGGGTTGGCTTGACGCGCCTTCCTCCTGACACGTTTCTCTCTTTCGCCCTCCATTCGTACCTCTTCAAATTCTACAGCACTGCTGGTCACAGCTGACCTCCAGCTGGAGCATTCACAGGCCAGGGCTTTCTCAGTTCTCAGTCTCTATGTGAGAGTTTTTAAGGTTGGCTTTGAGCCCATCTTTAAATCTCTTTTCCTGCCCGCCAACATTCTGTTTTCCGTTCTTGAGTTTGGAATAGAGCAACTGTTTTGAGATGGTGGTCAGGCATCCGGACAACGTGGCCAGTCTAGCGGAATTGATGGCGGAGGACCATCGCTTCAATGCTGGTGGTCCTTGCTTCTTCCAGCACGCTGACGTTTGTCCGCTTGTCTTCCCAAGAGATTTGCAGGATTTTCCGGAGGCAGCGCTGATGGAATCGTTCCAGGAGTTGCATGTGACATCTGTAGACAGTCCACATTTTGCAAGCATATAGTAGGGTTGGGAGGACAATAGCTTTATAAACAAGCACCTTGGTATCCCTACGGATGTCCCGGTCCTCAAACACTCTCTGCTTCATTTCGAAAAATGCTGCACTCGCAGAACTCAGGCAATGTTGTATTTCGGTGTCAATGTTGACTTCGGTGGAGAGATGGCTGCCAAGGTAGCAGAAATGGTCAATATTTTCTAATGTTACACCATTAAGCTGTATCTCTGGCATTGGAAAGGGATTGGCTGGTGACTGCTGGAAGAGCACTTTGGTTTTCTCGATGTTCAATGACAGGCCGAGCTTCTCGTATGCTTCTGCAAAGGTGTTTAGAGTGGCTTGAAGATCTTCTGAATGCGCACAGACAACATTGTCATCAGCATACTGGAATTCTATAACATGTTATTGTAACCTTGGTTTTGGCTTTCAGTCTGCTGAGGTTAAACAGCTTCCCATCTCTCCGATAGATGATTTCCACACCGGTGGGAAGCTTCCCGTCAACAAGGTGAAGCATCATAGCGATGAAGATGGAGAATAAAGTTGTGGCTTTACTCCAACAACTCCAGTTGTGCCTGCAGGTTCATTGGAACATGCAAGCCCCCTCACCATGACAAGGTGACAGTCCATCGAGGGGGCATAGGCTATTACTTGTGGCCAAGTATGATTGCCTTCCAAGTGCAGAGTCCAGAGGGCCGAAGTTTGCCCATGCCTTGTCTACACTGCCTTATAATCTGGATTTTGTATGGCAGCGTAGAAAGGTCCTGAGCTGGAAGGTCAATGATCTGTTTATTATTTATTTATTTACTTTACTTCTATATCGCTTTTCTCAGCCCTTAGGCGACTCAAAGTGGTTTACATAATACAAAATCACAAGACAGTATCGAAAGCAGGTTAAAACACATTATACATTATACATAACAATATCAAAAGACAATCATTATCATAATCATCATCATATCGCCTCAACAACAAATCAGAATCCTTTCTCGTAATCCTTGTTCCATATTCCTATGTTCGATTGCACCGTGTTCCTATATTCCATTGCATTGATTAGCCAAACTCTTGTTCGAAGAGCCAGGTCTTCACCTTCCTCCGGAACGCCAACAGCGAGGGGGCCTGTCTGATGTCTGCAGGTAGGGCATTCCACAGCCGAGGGCCACCACTGAGAAGGCCCTGTCTCTCGTCCTCGCCAGACGCGCCTGCGATGCAGGTGGGACCGAGAGCAGGGCCTCCCCAGACGATCTTAATGTCCTGGTCAGTTCATAGGTGGAGATGCGTTCGGAGAGGTAAGTAGGGCCGGAACCGTTTAGGGCTTTATAGGCTAACGCCAGCACTTTGAATTGTGCCCAGTAGCAAATTGTCAGCCAGTGGAGCTGGCGCAACAGAGGAGTGGTATGCTCCCTGAGTGCCGCTCCTGTTAGTAACCTGGCTGCCGAGCGCTGGACCATTTGAAGCTTCCGAGCAGTCTTGAAGGGCAACCCCACGTAGAGAGCGTTGCAGTAGTCTAAACGGGATGTAACCAGAGCGTGGACCACCGTGGTCAAGTCAGACTTCCCAAGGTACAGGCGCAGCTGGCGCACAAGTTTTAATTGTGCAAAAGCTCTCCTGACCACCGCCGAAACCTGGGGTTCCAGGCTCAGCGATGAGTCTAGGGTCACTCCCAAGCTGCGAACCTGCGTCTTCAGGGGGAGTGTAACCCCGTCCAACACAGGCTGTAACCCTATGCTCTGTTCGGCCTTGCGACTAACCAGGAGTACCTCTGTCTTGTCTGGATTCAATTTCAATTTGTTCGCCCTCATCCAGACTGTCACAACAGCCAAGCACCGGTTCAGGACCTCGACAGCCTCCTTAGTAGCTGGTGGAAAGGAGTGACAGAGTTGGACATCATCCGTGTACAGATGGCATCGTACCCCGAAACTCCGGATGATCTCCCCCAGCGGCTTCATGTAGATGTTAAACAACATAGGGGACAGTATTGATCCCTGAGGGACCCCACAAGACAATGGTTGTGGGGCCAAACAGGTGTCCCCTAACAACACCTTCTGAGTGCGACCCTCCAGGAAGGACCGGAGCCACTGCAAAGCAGTACCTCCACGGCCCATTCCTGTTGAGGGCGGTTCTGTGGCTCTCTCAACTGCAAAACCTTTTCATACTGGATATGTTGGCGAGTTTAACCAGAGTTGGTCAGGGAGGGAGGAACTTTTCCCGCGCTTTCGCCGGTGACGTCACCACCGAGCCAACCCGGGTCTCCAGCCCAGGCGCTCCTCCTCGCGCGGTGCAGGCCGGGACCCCTCCCCCAGACTCCCGGCCTGCCCCGCGCCAGGCTGAATGGGGCAGAGGCAAAATGGCGGCGAACGCGAACTCTGCCGGCGGTGGCGGAGGAGGCGGCCTCCCGCTCTTCGACTGCCCGAGCTGGTGAGGCTGGAGGCGGCGCAGGGCGGGAGCGGGGCTGGGCTCCGGGGCGGGGCAGCTGCCGTGGGCAGGAGAAAGGCCTGGTTCCGCCGCGCCGGAGAGGGAGGGGCTGTGTGCCGAGGCCTCCTTAAAGGCTTCTGAGCATGAGCAGAAAAGCTTGGCTTTCCTGTATACGCTAAAAGTGTGCCTCTGTGTATGAACGGGTGCCTATTTCGTAATCATGTGTGAAGCATGAACAGCGTGGGTATCTATTTATTTATGTGTGTGTGTTTTGTTTCTTTACCGCAAAGCATCCATCATGAAACACCAGTGGAAAGCAGTTCTGAATACTGACAGGATGCGCCATGGTGCTGAAAGAGGCCTCTCTTTCCCTGAAGGGGCCTCTTCTGGCCTCTAGGCCAAGCCTGGGCCAACTTGGGCCCTTCAGGTGTTTTGGATTTCAACTCCCACCATTCCTCATCTTAAGTGGCTGAGGTGGAAAAGGAAAGGGCCTGAGGCTGTTAGGAATGGTGGGAGTTGAAGTCCAAAACGTCTTGAGGGCCCAAGTTAGCTCATGCCTGCTCTAGCCAAATATGTGCAGCCCCCGAGTTAAAAACATCTGACTTATAAACGACTCCTAGTTAAGAACTGGGTTTATTTATTTGTCGTGTCAGAGCAACCAGTCCATTATATTACATTTCTAACAGAACAAAGCAAACAAACAGACAAATACAAAACTTGTGAGTTTGGTAGTTGGTTAAATGTCCTTTGAGCAGTATCTGGCCACTTGGAGTGCTTCTGGTGTTGCTGCAAGAAGGTCCTCCTTGTGCATGTGGCAGGGCTCAGGTTGCATTGCAGCAGGTGGTCAGTGGTTTGCTCTTCTCCACACTCGCATGTCGAGGATTCCACTTTGTAGCCCCATTTCTCAAGGTTGGCTCTGCATCTCGTGGTGCCAGAGCGCAGTCTGTTCAGCGCCTTCCAAGTCGCCCAGTCTTCTGTGTGCCCAGGAAGGAGTCTCTCATTTGGTATCAGCCATTGGTTGAGGTGCTGGGTTTGAGCCTGCCACTTTTGGACTCTCGCTTGCTGAGGTGTTCCAGCGAGTGTCTCTGTAGATCTTAGAAAACTATTTCTAGATTTAAGTCGTTGACGTGCTGGCTGATACCCAAACAGGGGATGAGCTGGAGATGTCTCTGCCTTGGTCCTTTCACTATTGCTGCTACTTCCCGGCGGATGTCAGGTGGTGCAATACCGGCTAAGCAGTGTAATTTCTCCAGTGGTGTAGGGCGCAGACACCCCGTGATAATGCGGCATGTCTCATTAAGAGCCACATCCACTGTTTTAGTGTGGTGAGATGTGTTCCACACTGGGCATGCATACTCAGCAGCAGAGTAGCACAGCGCAAGGGCAGATGTCTTCAATGTATCTGGTTGTGATCCCCAGGTTGTGCCAGTCAGCTTTCGTATGATATTGTTTCTGGCACCCACTTTTTGCTTGATGTTCAGGCAGTGCTTCTTGTAGGTAAGAGCACGGTCCAGAGTGACTCCCAGGTATTTGGGTGTGCTGCAATGCTCCAGTGGGATTCCTTCCCAGGTGATCTTCAGAGCTCGGGATACTTCTCTGTTCTTGAGATGAAAGGCACATGTCTGTGTTTTAGATGGGTTAGGGATCAGCTGGTTTTCCCTGTAGGCAGTAAGAGCACCTAGAGCTTCGGAGAGCTTCTGCTCTACCGTCTCAAAGCTCCCTGCTTGAGCAGTAATGGCACGATTATCAGCATAGATGAAACTTTCTGTCCCTTCTGGCAGTGGCTGGTCATTTGTGTAGATGTTGAACATGGATGGAGCAAGCACGCTCCCCTGAGGCAGGCCATTCTTCTGTTTCCGCCATCTGCTTCTCTGGCCCTGGAACTCAACAAAAAAGCTCCTGTTTTGTAGCAGGTTTCCTATGAGGCGGGTGAGGTGGTAGTCCTTTGTGATATTATATTGATATGATATTAAGTTCTGGAGAGACTTATTTTGCATAGAATTACAGAAAAAATAGACCCATGTCTAATCCCACAGCAAGCTGGCTTCAGAAAAGGCAAAAGCTGGACATCACAAGTGTTGAACCTGACTCAGCACATAAAAGATGGCTTTGAAAGGCAGCAGATCACAGGAGCTGTCTTCATAGACCTGTCAGCAGCCTATGATACTGTAAACCACCGCCTCCTCCTGAGAAAATGTATAATATCACAAAGAACTGGGTGATACAACAGGAAGTGAGAGAAATCCACTCCTGGAAGAGTTATTATCATGTGGGAAAGGAGTCTCCGCTGAAGCTTTCTCACAAATCCTTGTTTCCACAATAAGCCTTTTTTTTCCAAAATCAAGTGATCACAGAAAGTGAGGTAAAATGTTCTGATCAGGGCCACAGATGGCAAAAGAAGCACTACAGGGGTGTTAAGCTTTCCCTGTGCTATCCAAAATAAATGTATATAATAGTCTGACTTGGCCACGGTGGTCCACGCTCTTGTTACATCCCAATTAGACCACTGCAATGCACTCTACGTGGGGCTGCCTTTGAAGACTAACGGTCCAATGGTCAGCAGCCAGGTTGCTCACCAGAGCAGCATACAGGGAGCATACAACTCCTCTGTTACACCAGCTCCACTGGTTGCCGATCTGCTTCCGAGCACAATTCAAAGTACTGGTTTTAACATTTAAAGCTCTAAACGGTTCTGGCTCAGACTACATGTCTGAACGTATCTCCTACTATGAATCATTATGAAGTTTAAGATCATCTGGAGAGGCCCTGCTCTTGATCCCACTGCTGTCGCAAACCCGATTGCTGGAGACGAGAGACAGGGCCTTCTCAACAGTGGCTCCCCGTCTGTGGAATTCCCTCCCCAAAGACATCAGACTGGCCACCTCCCTCCTGTCCTTTAGAAAGAAACTCAAGATTTGGCTGTGGAACCTTGCATTTGACCATTGAACAGCGGCTTGTATGAAGAAGACATAAGCAATTTTGAAGTGACAATGAATTGACCCAGATCCGGATTTTAATTGGCGTGTTTTAACAACTGTTTATTTAATGTTTTGTTTTAATGAATTTGTTGATTGTTCTTATCATTACGGTGGCACCGAATTGTGTTTGCTATGAGGCCGCCCTGAGTCCCCCCTCGGGGGTGAGAAGAGCGGGATACAAGTATATGAAATAAATAGTAGTAATAATAATAACAACTTTATTTTTATACCCCGCCTCCATATCCCCGAAGGGACTCGGGGTGGCTTACATGCCCAACAGAACAGTTAAAACATAATACATTAAAATGTGCATCAACAACATAACAAAAACAATACAACAAAATAAACAACAACATTGAACAGTATATGAAACAACATCAAAACCAAGCAATCAGAAGCAAAGTTCAATATTTTGTCAGGGGTGGGTGGACTGGTGCCACAACATTAAAGGATAGAGCTAATGTTTAAAGTGCAATATATAGCAGCAATGAGCAATTTACCATTAAGGATTTGGGTATAGCAATCGTAAAGTGCTTAAGGACAAGAGTTTTGGGTCCTATCTATCTATCTATCTATCTATCTATCTATCTATCTATCTATCTATCTATCTGGCTGGAGTTGCACTTTAAGATGTACATGTTCTGACTTACATAAAATTCAATAATAATATCTATTTATTTATAACTCGCCCTATCTCCCTGAGGGGACTCAGATAGGTTTCTAGCTAAAATAACACAGTGGCAAACATTCAGTGCCGAAAATAACAAATACAGAATGGGGGATGCCTGGCTCGAGAGCAGTACGTGTAAAAAAGATCTTGGAGTCCTTGTGGATAACAAGTTAAACATGAGCCAACAATGTGATGCGACAGCTAAAAAAGCCAATACGACTTTGGACTGTATAAATAGGAGTATAGTGTCTAGATCCAGGGAAGTCATGCTACCCCTCTATTCTGTTTTGGTCAGACCACACCTGGAATACTGTGTCCAATTCTGGGTACTACAATTGAAGAGAGATGTTGACAATCTGGAATGTATCCAGAGAAGGGTGACTAAAATGATCAACGGTCTGTAGAACAAGTCCTGTGAGGAGGAACTAAAAGAGATTGGGCATGTTTAGTCTGCAGAAGAGAAGGCTGAGAGGAAACATGATGAGGGTCATTTATACATACGTGAGGAGAAGTCATAGGGAGGAGAGAGCAAGCTTGTTTTCTGCTGCCCTGGAGACTAGGACACAGAACAGTGGCTTCAAACTACAAGAGAGGAGATTCCACCTGAAGGAAGAACCTTCTAACTGTGAGAGCTGTTCAGCAGTGGAACTATCTGCCCTGTAGTGTGGTGGAGGCTCGTTTGGAGGCTTTTAAAGAGAGGCTGGATGGCCATCTGTTGGGGGTGCTTTGAATGTGATTTTCCTGCTTCTTCGCAAGAGGTTGGATGGGATGGGCCATGAAGTCTCTTCCAACTCTATGATTCTAAACAATGGGTGAAACAATCTCACTATAAAATTATAAAATCTAACCAGAAAAATAACCAAACTTAAATAAACATAACATAACACATAACAAATTCAACTTAGGAACAAACCTACAGAACCTATGCCTGTACAGGAATACGGAGCATTTCCCCTCTTCCTCCTCACAACAGAGTTGTGGTCCTGTGATGGCAGACTTTTAGAGGAGAAGCAATCATACAGTTGACAGAGATGGTTCTTTTAAATGTATCAGAAACATACACAGCTATGAGTAAGAGGCAATGAACAGAGTATGAAAGATGAGCTTGTTTATTAATGTGTAGACCTATGGATTCAAATTACAAGCAAAAGATTCCACTCAAACATTAGGAAGAACTTCCAGAGGGTAAGAAGAGCTGTTTAACAGTAGAATACACATCGCCTTGGAGTCTGGTGGAGGCTGGATGGCCATCTGTTGGGAGGGCTTTGATTTTGTGCCCCTGTATGGCAGGGGGTTGGACTGGGTGGTTCTTGGAGTCTCTTCCAACTCTATGATTCTTTGTATAATTTTTACTATGGGATATTTTTCAACAGCAGTGATAGTTTTTGTGTTGATTGTATTCCTATTATGCAGATATAATTCTGACACTTGGTTTTATTGAGAGAAGGAATTATTCCTTCATTGATTACTTCTGTTATTCTTCAGATGTTCTGGAACTGAATCTGTCACTTTGCTTTTTGTGTGATGTTTCCATCAAGGAAGGGCCCACTAAGCAATTAGCTCCCATAGTTCCTCGTTCTTTTAAGGAAAATTCATGATTTTCCTGTGTCAAATTGTAGTAGATTATGAAACTGTGCGAATATAGCTTTCGAATAATATAGTGTTAGTATAGGAATGTTTATTTAAAATAATGGGCGTTTGCTCCTTTCAGCCAAACTATTAAATCTTCTCTTTGAGTGGTGGATATTAAATACTTCCAAATTTACATGCATATGTCTTATATGTCTGTCGGAGACAGCATTGAAAAGCTATAGGGGCATCAGGGCCTCTTTGAAAAATAACTGCCATTCAAAGTTTTAGCACATAGACTGCTTCCAAATACATACAATATTACACACATCAAAGAAGAATTTATTCAATCCAAAGGAGAGGAAAAAGACCAGAATATGTCACGTTAGTATGACCTACATCTCACGTTACTAAAAAAAGGGAATGTGCCTTTCGGTGCTCATGGCACTTCACATTCTTCTCTTCTGAAACTTACAGATAACTGGTGAAATGAAGCTTACTATTTCCATGTTACAGATAGGAGCGGGAGATACCAAGAATGAGATCCCTGATGCTTTCCTGATGTTCATGATCTTGGCTACTGTACAAAACATCCATGTCTTCCCAAATAATTTTTTAAAAACCCATATACCTCAGATAATACTGGTGAATAGCACTTGTTTGATTTTGTCCCCTTACAATAGGTGAAATAAAAATATCCTGGTGGTAATATTCTTTTGTTTTCTAAAAAATACGCTCTTTTCTTTTTTTTTCCCCTTAAAGGATCATTTTTGTTGCTTTTCCGATTTAGCTTCATTGACATGAAAGTTTATGCAGTTCTGTGGTGCTGTATATAAGAGCCAGGTTGGGTGGCTCTTATAAGGCTAGATCCTTCTAGCCCACTCTCCTGTTTCACACAGTGGCAAACCAAGATGCATCTAGAAAGCTGAGAAGTATAACATCAAGAAGTAGCCTTATCTTACTGTTTAACCCTAAGCAGGTGATGTTCAGTAGAACTTTTGACAAGTCTTATGATGAGTCTTACTCTGTCAGAAACCCTCACCTTTGGCCATGCCGGCAGGTGCTTCTCAGAGCCAAAGTTCAAAACATAGATGACCACAGGCTAAAAACCACTACTGAGTAGCATATTACCTCAAGGGAGATTCCAGAGTAATCCCAAATAATGTGTTTGTTGAATTGAATTTTAAAGCTGTTTTAACTAGTGACTGTACCACATCTTAGTGGCAGTCAATTTCACATTACTTGTGTCATCTAAGAATCATATTCACAGCAGTCTAAATGAGTCGAAAGGTGATGATTAAATACTAAATGCTGTATGCACAGAAAATTTTCACCAGTTTTATAAATTTCAGTATTTAGTTTGTGGTTCCTTGTCTGCTTAAACTCATAGTGTTGCAGGAGCTACAATTGTTGTACCTCTTCAGAAAAAAATGTGAGAGGTGGTGTTTGTTTTAATAATAACTTTTGATTTGTTGATAACTAGAGGTTGTAAAGACTACTTCAACAATTCCCAAACAAAACCTGTCTCTGTTTTGTTTTCTAGGGCAGGAAAGCCTCCCCAAGGGTTGCATCTGGATGTAGTCAAAGGAGACAAACTTATTGAGGTATGAAAATAAATACAGAGCATTTGAACATGGACCAGGATGATTCATTTGGCACTGGGTAGCTGTAGAAACACTAAGTGGTAAAAAAAAACACAGCAAATAGCGCACATATTTTCTTTTGCCTTTGTGTTCCAGAGTATTTGAGCACTTCTGGTGATATCCCAAGCTCCTTATTATGTTTGGCAAGAGATTTTATATGTAGGTATCCAAAACACCAGGGCAGAGACTGCCATTGCATAGATGTGCAATGTGTGCTTCTCCCCAACCCTTTTCTCAGGCATCTCCATCCAACCTGAATCTAAAATGTCCTTAGTAGATTAGAGAGCTTGGCCAAAACAAACAAAATGCATTTCAACGGGGAAATGTTTAACTATATTTAGGAATGAAAAAATGAAATGCTTAGATATAAAATGGGTGATAACCTGGCTTGAAAACAATACACGTGAAAGGGATCTAGGAGTCTTAGTAGACCAAGTTGAACATGAGTCAATAGTGTGATGTAGCAGCTTAAAAAACTAACGTGATTGTAGGAGTAAAATGTCTAAATCGAGGGAAGTAATAGTCCCACTCTATTGTTTTGTTTGGTCAGACTTCATCTGGAATACAGTGTCTAACTCTGGGCACCACAATTCGAGAAGGATATTGACAAACTGGAACATGTACAAAGAAAAGTGGCCAAAACAGTTAAAGGTCTAGAAGCCAAGCCCTTTGAGGAGTGACTTAGGGAACTGTGTATGTTTACCTTGGATAAGAGAAGGTTAAGAGGTGACATAATGGCCATGTTTAAATACTTCAAAGGATGTCATATTGAGAAAGGGGCAGCTTGGTTTTTGCTGATCTGGAAATTAAGGTATGGAGCAGTCAATTCAAACTATAGGAAAAGAGATTCAATCAAAACATTAGAAAGAACATCCTGAGAGTAAGAGCTGTTCTGCAGTGGAATATGCTGCCTCACAGGGTGGTAGAGTCTTCTTCTCTAGAGGTTTTAAAGCAGAGGCTGGATGGCCATCTGTCAGAGGTGCTTGGATTGTGTGTTCTTGCATAGCAGAGAATTGGACTAGATGGCCCTTGTGGCCTCTTCCAAACCTATGATTTTATGAATTTCACAGAAGTCAGAGAAGTGATGTACTTGAAAGGCTCCCAAGTTCATAAAGGTCACTATTTAGTGGTGGTCAGCTCCAGCTCCTCTTGCGGGGACATTAGAGAAGCCTCCCACAAGGAAGATAAAACATCCGGGCATCCCCTGGGCAACATCCTTGCAGATGGCCAATTCTCTCACACCAGAAGCGACTTGCAGTTTCTCAAGTCACTCCTGACATGACAAAAAAAACCAAAACTATTTAGTGGTGACAGAGAAGAATGTATATGTTGTCCTATGTTTAATGTTTGTAACTATACCAACTTCCTTTGGACATGTATGTATCTCACTGTAGTAAACTATAATGTACACCATTCTTCTGTTCTAACAGTCAGTCTTCATGCTACCCCATCTCTCCTCCCTTCTCAGAAAACCCAGAAAAAATTTCATAATCTCCCATTACATCTGAACCAAGAAACCATGCTTATCAAACAGTGGTTTACGATCCTTGCTTGCTCTATTCTGGTAATCCGGTTTAGACATAATGGGAAGCTATAACTAATTGAATATTTCCTGGATTAATTGAAACACGCCAAGTAGGCAGGAGGTACAAAATGTCTCATGTGTATCTCAGCTTTCTAAAATGAGAACAAATATGCAGTTGAACTGTCTGTGTGGATGGACTATAATCCTGGGAATATCTCTTGAGCACCGTAAAAGTGTAAGTAATGTACTATAAATTGGCAGTTGCAAATAATGTACTTTTTGAAATGCCTACAGGTTTAAGCACTTGATACTAACCAAGCCATCTCTACTTTTGTTCTCTTATATAGAGTGCAGAGGTACAACTAGTGATTGGCTGGGTCTAAAAAGTGCAACATGAAAGTAAGCCATGTGGTTTAGCTCAATGTGTGCAGAATCACACTGGGTTATAACACAGCGGTACATACAAGTCTGCACATGACTGGTTATATCTATGCTGTAGAATTACTACAGGTTGACACTATTTTAACTGCCACGACTCAGTGCTATGCAGTCGCAGGAGTTGCAGTTTTACAGAGTCTGTAGCATTCTCTTCCAAGTAGTCCTGGCACCTGACTACTCTCATGATTCCATAACATTAGCCATGGCAATTAAAGTTAGTGGTGTCGAACTGCATAGTGTAAATGTACCCTTTAAGAAAAGTGGAGCAGTGACTGATGCTTCATTTGCTTTTTGCCTTTTTAAAGTTGTTTTAGTACTAGGGGTGTTCACAATTCCATTTTGCGGTGCTGGATTCGGGAAAATTCAGCAATCCAGCAGCCAAACTGCCAAAACCAGACTGGTGGGAAGCATCTGAGGGCTCTTTCTTTCTTTTCTTCTTTTTTATTTTTATTTATTTATTGCTTCACAATTATCTAGTTCTCTCCATGATATGTGAATTGTAGATCTTCAGACTACAGGTAGGAGTTCATGGGTGGAAGGCTTTCCTCTGGAAAGAGACATTCCTACAGAAATCTGGTATGTTAGGGAGATTGCTATGTCCACACCTTTGTCCCTAAAATTTCATTTTCTGTGATGAGATAATGATTTTGTTTGAAGTCTTTCTTGTATGTTGACATTTCCAAGGCAGGTAATGCAATTGACAGTACTAAAAACAATCCAGACACAAAATAAGAGGAAACAGAATATCTCTGTATTGAAGATTAAAAGCAGGTAGTTGTTTCTTTCACAGGTGTTAGTAAATTGTCTCACCATGGAATAGGCACTGATAAAAATGGGGGAAAGGGTCTATCTTCCTGCTGCTGACAGTTAATGTTGTGGTTTAGCATTTCAAAGGGAAACATCCTCAGTCTGATAAGTTTGGGGATCTCTTTTTTGGATGGGTTGCAGTCTCTTCTCCTGGCTAATATACTCTGCTTTAGTGTACTTGGCACAGAAGATACGGGGAAAAGTGTGAGTTTTACACTGCTTTCTGTTTGATATTTTACCACAGAAACTGATCATTGATGAGAAAAAATACTATCTTTTTGGGAGAAACCCTGACCTTTGCGATTTTACCATTGATCACCAGTCATGTTCTCGGGTCCATGCTGCCTTGGTCTACCATAAACATCTGAAGCGAGTTTTTCTAATAGATCTCAACAGCAGTAAGTTGACTGATAATTAACCAGGTAATATACTTGGCTTGTGTGGGTAAAGAAGGGAATGTTTGGGATTATTTTTTAATGTGTTTTTTATTTATTTTCACATTTTACTTACAAAGAAAAGCATTAAAATTAGGGGACACTAGCTGTTTTTAACTATAACCTTGAAACTCTTCCATGCCAAATGAGCACAAGAGTACAAGAAGGTGGGTTTCTTTAGTCTTGTGAAAGGTTTTTGAAACCTTGAGCTATAAAAATGAATAAAATAGGTTAAATTTGGGAAGATATGAAATTCTAACACTTTCAGCAGCCCAGTGTGTCTTTAAATAATATGATGGCAGTGAACAGTTGGTATTTCTTTTGTTTTTATTCCAAAATGGTTAGCACATGGCACATTCCTGGGTCATATTCGGTTGGAGCCTCACAAACCTCAACAGATTCCCATTGACTCTACGGTTTCATTTGGTGCCTCCACGCGGGCTTACACACTCAGAGAAAAACCTCAAACGTTGCCCTCTGCAGTAAAAGGTGACGAGAAAATGACCAGTGAAGATGATGAACTCAAAGGGTTGCTTGGTTTACCAGAAGAGGAAACTGAATTAGATGTGAGTATTTCGCTTGTAGTTTAGGATCAGTTTCTTGTGTCATGTCATGTTGTGTCTTTCAGAGAGAATTCGGGTCTCGTGGTTGGAATTAAATAATCAGCGATAGCACTAAAGCACATCTGTCAAGCTGAAAGCCCGTTCTCTGAATGTGCCCACCATAACATTTTATGTGGGTCTCCAGATGCTGGACTACAACTCTTGTATTTTCCATCATTAGACATCATGACAACTCCCATCACCTCTACTGATGAAAGTTGTGGTGCAGTAACATCTGGAAGGTTGCAATTTGTTCTGTTTAGTAAGGAGAGTGAGGTTTGAATGTGAATACAAGGCTTGTGGATATGATGTCAAATATTAAACCATCCTTTAATCTTTCCCCAACCTCAGAGCCACAAGTGCTTTGGGTTGCAATTCCATTATCCACAGTCCACATGACGGATAATCAAAAGTGATAGAAATTGTCGTTCAATAACATCTGGGAACCCAAATAGGTTAAAAACGAAAGAGAACTGATCACCATGAAAAATAATATATAGTTGGCCCTCTGTATCCACAGATTCTCCCTCTGTATTCAGTGCCCCTGAATACATAGAGGAGGCAACCATTATTCATTCATTCATTTATATCCCCCTTTATCTCCTCCAAAGGAAACTCAAAAGTGGCTATAAGATAGATATGGCCTTCCATGAAAATGAGTATAATTAATAGTACATCCTGCACTAAAGAGAGCTAATTAGCAATGAATATAGGGCATATTTCTGTGGAAAACATAATCTTGATAACTGGACTCCTAGGCCCTTCTGAGTTAATATCCATTCCCCGGTTTAGCATTATCAGCATTATTGATCCCTTAGCTAAGATAAGGGTAAAGGTAAAGTTTTCCCCTGACATTAAATCTAGTTGTGCTTGTCTCTGGGGGGTGGTGCTCATCTCAATTTCTAAGCCGAAAAACTGGTGTTGTCTGTAGATGCCTCCAAGGTCATGTGGCCGGCACGACTGCATGGAGCGCCACTGCCTTCCCGACGGAGCGGTACCCATTGATCTATTGACATTTGCATGTTTTCAAACTGCTAGGTTGGCAGAAGCTGCGGCTAACAGCAGGAGCTCACTCTGCTCTCCGGATTTGAACCGCCAACCTTTCAGTCAGCTGGTTAACCCACTGCGCCACCAGGTGGCCCTATTCTCTTGACTAAAGCAAGTCACTATTCAGGCTGATTCTGTTGTTCTCTGGCAGCGCGTTGTAATTACTTCTGATAAGAGCTTGCAGATGGGAATAAAATATATAAATGCTTTAGTCTGAAAGCGTTTACTGTGTTAACAATCTCCTCTTTGGTTTCTTAGAATCTGACAGAATTTAACACGGCACACAACAAGAGGATCTCCACACTAACCATAGAAGAAGGAAATTTAGATATACAAAGACCAAAACGGAAACGGAAGAACTCAAGAGTAACATTCAGTGATGATGATGAAATAATCAATCCAGGTGTGTACAGGCAGCCCCTGGGTTACGGACAATATTGGTTCTGTAGGTTTGTTCTTAAGTTGAACTTGTATGTAAGTCAGAACATATACATTTTTAAAGTGTAACTCCAGCCAAAAAAATATATTTTTATAGTTTTGGATAAGGGTTAACATCCCTGTAACATTTGTTTTGCCATCTGTGCCACTGCTCAGATTTTACCTCCCTTTCTGACCCTATGACAATTGGATTTTGAACATTTTGGTTTGTCATGAAACAAGGATTGGTGATAAAGCTTCAGTGGAAACATCCTTTCCCATGATAATAACTCTTCCAGGAGTGGATTTCCCTTCCTAGGAGTACATTTTTTTTCTCACTTCCTGTTGTCTCACCCCCATTCTTCACTATGAATCGTATGTAAGTCAGATATCTGTAACTTGGCGACAGCCTGTACTATAGACCCATTCTGTGTTCTGTGAGCATCAGGCTTTGTGAAGAATTTAGTCATTCTTTATTTGGGAAAGGATAATGAATACTGGCTATACCTTTAAAAATCCATTTTGAATAATAATTGCTCCGCAATCTGATTGCTCATACAGAGGATGTGGACCCTTCTGTGGGACGTTTCAGAAACATGGTACAGACTGCAGTTGTCCCAGTGAAGGTAAGATGCTGAATCAGGACAGTTGCAGCCTGTTTGGTGCCTTCTGTCGAAGAATTGTACAGTATTTTGAAATATTAAAATTGATGCCTGACACTTGACTACTTTAAGAAACAATTTAAGACCTACCTCTCCTGGCAAGCCTATCCAGCCAGTTTTTAACTGAATTTTAAACTCATGTCCTGTGTTTACTGTATTTTAATCTTTATTCTGTGTATTTCAACATATAATTTCATAGAAAAACATTTTAATGTATATATTACCCCGTATATTGTACCCCACCTCAACTGTAAGGAGAGGTGGTTAAGATGATATTATTATTATTATTATTATTATTATTATTATTATTATTATTATTTAAACACCAGGACATAACATTATCTTCCATTTGCCTTTTAAATACATATATAGTGGGTTACAGTATGCATGCAAGATTAATGGTGTAACTTCATGTCATAACATAAGGAAAAAGTAAAGGTTTCCCCTTGACATTAAGTCTAGTCGTGCCAACTCTGGGCGGGTGGTGCTCATTTCTATTTCTAAGCCGAAGAACTGGCATTGTCCATAGACACCTCCAAGGTCATGTGGCCAGCATGACTGCATGGAGTGCCGTTACCTTCCCACTGGATCAGTACCTATTGATCTACTCACACTTGCATGTTTTTGAACTGCTAGGTTGACAGAAGCTGGGCCTAACAGCGGGAGCTCACCCCACTCCCTGGATTTGAACTGCCAACCTTTTGGTCAGAAAGTTCAGCGGTTTAACCTGCTGCCCACCAAGGGGCTCTAGTTAGACAAACTAACAAGCAAAACAAAGAATTTAGCTTTGTTAATTTAGCAATTGACTTGAGGTTTTTTTTAAAAGAACAATAATATTTTTACTTATATTATGATCATCTTACCCACATCTTACCCGCATAGTTGAAACCCATAAATAAAAACAAAACCATTAAAAACTCATGTATTAAAAGATACAGAAAAAAGATTAAAATACCAATAAACTCCAATTTAAAATGTATAGTTTAAAATTGCCTGGATAGGACAGCCAGAAAAAATGCCTGATTCAAATCTAAATATAGACTAAGATTGAAGAAAAAATACACTGAATTAGAATTAAAACTTTGAAAATCCAATTGCTTTCCTTCCTTCTTTCTTGAAATGAATTTTTATTCACTGTTAATTGCACTTAAAGGTTTCTCAGCACCCTACCAAGATTAAACATTTAAAAATACAAATTTTGCCCACAGTCTTGGAAACAAAAGGGTGGATTGGAAACAAACACATCCAAGCATTCTTGCAAGGCCCAAAATTAAAGTGGGCTGCATTTCATACTTGGAAGGAGGAGAGAACAGGAGTTCCCCTCCTGCTGCTTGTATTGGGAGATCTTTGTGTGAAACAGATTCCTTTTCTTCTTCAGAAGAAGCGCCTGGAAAATGCTGGCTCCCTGAGTGTGGATGAAGCTGCAATGCGGCGGATGCAGAACTTTCCCTACAGCGGGGGATTGTATGGCGGCTTGCCTCCCACTCACAGTGAAGCGGGCTCTCAGTCCCATGGCGTGCATGGCACGGCTCTCATTGGAGGGTTGCCCATGCCTTATCCAAACCTTGCCCCAGATGTGGACTTGACTCCTGTTGCTCCTTCAACAGTCACCATGAACCCAGCTCCAAACCCAACTGTGTTTAATCCCGAAGGTGTGAATGAGCCGAAGAAAAAGAAGTATGCAAAAGAAGCTTGGCCAGGCAAGAAGCCCACCCCTTCTCTCTTGATCTGAGAAGTTTGGCTTCTTCTGGTGGGTGGGATAGGACCAACTAGCCGTTGGAATGAGGAAAAAAAAACTGCACAAGTGTATTGGCAGCTCTCAGACTCGGATCCTAACTGTGTATGTCATACATAGCTCAGTTACAGGGCTGAACTCCCTCCCAAAGAGTTCTGCCAGTGTCAAGAAAAGAGAGGCAAACATATATCTTCCACTCCCTGCAGAACCACACACTTTTCTTTATTACCCTTCCTTTACAGGCCCATTGCTGTTTTTATTTTGACGTTATTCATACATTTAAGGGACACTTCAGGTAATTCCCAGTTAATCTTCCCAGTTTTTGCAGCTACACAAACTCAGAACTGTTGGGTACTGATTGTATTCATTTGTAACCGGTTGGCTTTGGACTAACACTTTTCTTTCACAGCAGATACGTTCTAAAGTAGCACTTTGTCGGGCTTTTATCAAATGATTTCCATGTAAGTAAAAAAAGCAGTAGTTTGCTTTTTTAAACTCAAGATCATGAGGTGGTTTCAGTCTAGTGCACTTATTTATGTGCACTGTAAACACGCATCACCATTTTGAAAGAACCGGGAATGGAATGGAGCTATCAGTAAATTAGAATGGAAGAGATTAGTTGCTCCTTCACATCATAGATTGAAATCATCATAAGTATGAAAAAAGGAATTTAATTTGAAATTATATAGTAGTCTAGGGACCTCATCACACTAGAGAATGAATCCACTTTAAATCCGGTTGCTGCCTCCTGCAGAATTCTGGGGGTTGTAGTTCAGGGAGGAGCCTTTAACAGCCTCACTAAACTACAAACCCCAGAATTCTGCAGGAGACAGAAACCGGATTTAAATTGGAGTGATCAGTAAATTAGAATGGAAGAGATCAGTTGCTCCTTTGCATCATAGATTGAAGGCATCGTAAGTATGAGAAAATGAATTTAATTGAATTTGATATTATATAGAAGTCTAGAGACGACATCACACTAAAGAACGAATCCACTTAAAATCCGGTTTCTGCCTCCTGCAGAATTCTGGGGTTCGTACTTTAGGGAGGATCCTTTAGCAGCCTCACTAAACTACAAACCCAAGAATTCTGCAGGAGGAAGAAACCGGATTTAAATTGGATTCATTCCCGAGTGTGATGAAGTAGTAGCAGAATTTTTTTTCTGGCAAAATAAATGACAGAATAGTGGCATTTGACCAGTACTTAGGATGTGATTAGGAATACCCAGAAGTGGCCTGCATGGTTTGTTTTGCCTATGCCAGTGGTTCTCAACCTGTGGGTCCCTTTGGGTCCCCAGATGTTTTGGCCTTCAACTCCCAGAAATCCTAACAGTTGGTAAACTGACTGGGATTTCTGGGAGTTGTAGGCCAAAACACCTGGGGACCCACAGGTTAAGAACCACTGGCCTATGCCATTATCTGTGTGTCACCTATTCTGGGATAACCTAAAAGCAGCAGCCCAAGGAAAGTCACCCAGTCTCTGAAATATAACATGTGCAGCTTAGTCAGATAGGGATGTGGCACAAGTTAAGTTTCGTGATGTCAGCTCTATTGCATGACAATTCGATCTTTTGACTTCCCTGTTTGAGCAAAAGTGAATTTAAGTCAGCAAGTACTTGGTTTCAGTCCTTGATATTTAGTACACATGGTGTCTTGGTTTGGTATCCAGACTTTAAACCAGGCATGGGCAAACTTTGGCCCTCCAGGTGTTTTGGACTTCAACTTCCACGATTCGGAATTGTGGGAGCTGGATTCCAAAACACCTGGAGGGCCAGAGTTTGCCCATGCCTGCTCTAAACACTGTGCAAATGGTTAATCCCAGTGTTGGATTGAGATCTTCCTGGTTGTGTATATTTAAATTGAGTTAGATTCACTAGCAATTCCTTATCCCATGGCAGTAATAGCCTCCGTCAAGCCCTTTGCTGTTGACTTTATTAAGAAAATTAACCAACTTGCAAGTTCTCATTCAGCTGGTGAAATCAGTGGAACTCTTCAAGAAATGCATAACCCAGATTGGTTTGCCTATTGTTTCAGCAAGATTACCTTTCTCCAAAATTACATTGGCCCCTCAAAGTACTGGTCCAGACAGATCCTGGGGGCCAAATAAATTGTAATTGCTGCTTGCAGTAGAAAAAAAAATGAAAATGTATGTTACCATATTGGGAGTCAGTGAAATGAATAGAATTTACTTCATTTCTGCTTTTCTCTTTTTCATCTTATAGTTTACATGGGGTCCTTTGTGAGGATGACACTTTCTTTATTGTGTGGTTATATAACATCATATACTCGGTTGTGACAATGAATGGCTTATAAGCTTTAGTATTCCATATTCCCAATCTTAGTTACTTAATTTGTGATATGTTTAGTTAATACTTTTCCATACGATAGAGCAGTTCTTTGCTCTGTGATTGGCTCTTCAGAATACGATCAGTTTAAAGCAGTTGAGCTTTCCCTTCCTGGATTTTAATTTTTTTTAAAAAAGTGACTGTTTTGCAAGGTAAATATGTTGGGATTTTATTGAGTGCTGATCTTAGCCCTTCATCTCCCCAGGATAATGCAAATTTTTAATTTTAGATCTGTGAAGCCAAGCCTGGCTGATACTGAGCATCGGGGAGGCAGGGTAAAACATGTGGGTCTCTGTACAGACGTTTGTACATTTGTGTAATAGGCCTTTTCACACTCAGTTGAGCTTTTTACCTGTAACCTTTATTACACTGTAAATTAAATGAACGTTTTGCCAAATAGTTTCATGAATGTTCCTAAATTTTACATTGCAGTCAAGAAAGTGTTATTGTTGTTTCCACTTACTTTTATAACCTAAATAGCTCTATTTTCCCATTAATGACAACACTGATGGCTACTTACGGTATTTTATTTATTTATTTATTTTACAGTATTTATATTCTGCCCTTCTCACCCCGCAGGGGGCTCAGGGTGGATCACAATGCACATATACATGGCAAACATTCAATGCCATAGACAGACAATATATAGACAGACACACAAAGGCTATTTAACTTTCCAGCTTCATGAGGGTATGCTCGAATTCCGGCCACTGGGGGAGCTGTTACTTCACCGACCACTTGTGACACAGATTGAGTACTTCCTCATTCTTTTGCACACTGCTGGAGATTTTTATGGTGTTATAAATTAGTTAATTAGTTAAATTAGCTTCCCTGCTTAAGCGGTACATAAATTTCCTACTTGACAGATGCAACTGTCTTTCGGGCTGCAAAGGTCAGCAGCAAGCTAGACAAATGGTTGGGAGCTTACTCCAACCCGGGCTGGCTTCGAACTCATGATCTTTTGGTTAGTGGTGATTTTAATGCAGCTGACTCCCAAACAGCTGTGCCACAACCCGTGTTTATAAAATCATAAACACAAGATCAGTCAATCAATAACAAGTTAAAACCCGTATAACAAGTTAAAAGCCAACAGCAATAAGCAGAATTAAATTTTTAAATGCCAGCAAAATACACTGACTCCTCAATAAGAGCATTATTGGTATCCAGTGATGGTCTTATAGAAGAATATTCCAAAGATATTGTAAGGGAACAAGGACTGAAAAAGATGTAGTTGTGGGGGTCTACTACAGACCTCTAAGCCAGATGGAAGAAGTGGATGAAGCCTTCCTTGACCAGATGACTAAACATGCAGAAAGAAGAGATGCAGTAGTAATGGGAAGATTTCAACTACTCTGATATTTGTTGGAAAACAAACTTTGCCCAGAGTACAAAGTCCAGTAAATTCCTCACTTGCCTTGTAGACAATGTTTTTGTCCAGAAAGTAAAAGAGACAACAAGAGGATCACATATTCTGAATCTGATCCTAACCAACACTAAGGATCTGGTCAATGGAGTGGAAGTGGCTTAATCCGTAGGTGGGAGTGACCATGTGGTCCTGGAGTTTGTGATACAAAGGAAGGGTGAAACTAAGAGAAGTCAAACATGCATTCTACACTTTAGGAGAGCTGGCTTCAGGAAAAGTAAGGAAATACTGAACATGATTCCATGGACAGGAACACTCAAAGAGAAGGGAGTTAACGATGGACGGGAGTTTATTAAAAGTGAGATACTTGAGGCATTGCGCTTCCAGACAGCCTTTTATCCCAGGAGCATCCGTGTTTTAAAAATGTGGATGTTCCTGGGCCCCTATCCACACCCACCCCAGAAAGTGTGCGCATTCTGGGGTGGATGTCCAGATGTTCTTCCAGGACTGACCTGAGAACATCTGGAGTCCCTCTCCCCCAAAGCCCCCAAGCCCCTTTTAAAAGTAAGGAAAACGTACCCGGCCTCCATTACAGTCTTGCGGAGCTCCTCCTCCTTGTGGATTTTAGTGTGGACAATTTCAACAGAAAGGTGGAAACCATGAAAATGAACAAAATCTGGCTACCACTATTTTAAAAACCTTCTAAAATTGGGACAATAAATAAAGAGGAACACTCAAACAACAGGGAATTCCTGACATGAAACAATCAGGGCCAGCTAACACCTCCTACCAAAGGATTCTCTCAGGCAGAAACCAGCCAGTCTTTGAAGCTGCAAGGCCATTCAACGCTAATCAAGGCGGCCAATTGCAACATTCACACTTTCCTCAAGCTGACAAGAGTTCTTTCTCCCACCCTGGACATTATTCCACAGATAGATAAACCTCACTTGCCTAGTTTCCAACAGACCTCACAACTTCTGAGGATGTCTGCCATAGATGTGGGCAAAACTTCAGGAGATAATGCTTCTGGAATATGGCCATGTGACCTGGAAAACTCTCAGCCACCCAGTGATTCCAGTCACGAAAGCCTTTGACTACATACCAAGTATTTATTTTTCTTCATTTGATTCGCATCCTGTCTGGCTCCTGATTGGGACTCAATACTAATTTTTTAAAAAATGTTGCTATAAAAGGACAAACATTTGTAATATTATATCATCATTAATTAATCTATATAAATAAAAATGTAATGTTTGTTTGTGGGATTAACAGAACTCAAAAACCACTGGACAAAATGACACCAAATTTGGCAGCAAAACACATTCTAATCCGATCTATGTCTTTCAGACAAAAAACCCGTAAAAAATGAAGGGGAAATAACTTAAAACTCCCCCAAAATAAAAATGCCTTACAGAGCATGCTCAAAAGCCCCTCTCCCCATTGTGCGAGAAGAATGAAGCACCAACCTTTGTGAGGGAAGAGAAGCCTTGCCATGGAGTCCCTTTCCATGCATGGGCCCTCCTTCCTTCCCTCCCCCCCGGTCTCCTTCCTCTCTGTTGGCCCCACCAAACACAGACCTCTCCTTCACCCCCCTGGAGAGGCGGGCGGGTGGCTGCTCCGTGTGGACACTGCTCACCAAGCATCACCTTCCCTTGCCTAGGCACCGACGAGAAGGGAGTTCTGCAGCCCTCAGCCTTGCAGGGCCCAGCGGGGGTGGGAGGCATTTTTCGAGGTGGGCCTTGCTCACCCACATTGGCCCCTTCTTTCTGCCTCTGCTGCAAGGCACTGCCTGCATGCCCACCCACCAAACAGGGAAGGCTTCCCTCAGCCATGGCAGAAAGAAGAAGGGGCAGCGCTGGGTGAGGGCGGGAAAGAAAGAAGGAAAGAGAGAAGGAAGGATGGAAGGAAAGAGCAAAGGAAAGGAGGAAAGAAAGAGGTAGAGAAGGAAGAAAGGAGAGAAAGAAGGTAAAGAAAAGGGGAGAGGGAGGGTGGAAAGAGAGAAGGAAAGAAAAAAGGAAGGAACGAAGGAAAGAGGGAAGGAAGGAAGGAGAGAGAGAAAAAGGGAGGGAAGGTTGGCCACAGCAACACTAACAGACCAATGAGTGTCCATCACTCATAAACCCCCCCCCAAAAAAAACAGTGGAAAGGACTTAACCCCCCAGGAGATAAATGACAAAAAGATAAATGACATACAGAAAAAGGAAGGAAGAGGGAGGGAAGGAAGGGAAAAGGAAGAGAAGAAAGGAAAGGAAGGAAGAGTAAGAAGGAAGAAAGGGAAGAGGAAAAGAAGAGGGAAAGAAGGGAGAAAAAGAAGGAGAGAAGGAAAGAAAAAATAAAAGGAAGGAAAAGCGAAGGAAGAAGAGAGGAAAGAGAAGAAAGAGAAAGAAGGGAAGGAAAAGAAAAAGGGAGGAAGGAAAGAGGTAGAGAAGGAAGGAAGGAGAGAAGGAAGAAGAAAAGGGAAGGAGGGAAAGAAGAGAAAGAGGGAGGGAAGGTTGGCCACAGCAATGTGTGGCGGGTACAGCTAGTTAAACATAATAAAACACAACTCAAGCAAAATAAAATCAATAAAAAGAACATCAAAGCATTCTAGGCAACTAACCAACTGCCTTCCTGAATTAAAAAATAGTTGTCTCCTGATGGAAATTCAACACAGGAGGAGGCAGAATAGCGTCCTTTGACTAGAAGTGGCCACTGAGATGACCATCTGATATGAGTTGTATGTCAGACTTTGCCTAGAATTCCTCATTTGTCTAGCAGAGAATAATAGAAATAAAATGCATAGTGGGGGAATACTGTGACTATGTGAACCCTGTATCTATTCCTTGGTCAGATGTTGATGGGCCACACCAGGTCCCTGCTCTCCCTCTTAAGGTTGGATGCTCATCTGCTGCCTCCAAATGGTGCTCTTTGCAGCTGGGATGCCTTATTCTGAGTCAAGTAAAACATCTGCTGTTGAACTATACCTCTGCTCTCAAATAGCCATTGGGTGACAAGAACAATTCAACCACACGTGCAGTGTCCTATAACTGTGGTCGCTGATGCAAAATCACCATGAGCTGGCACCTCTTGTGTCTGGTATCGTTTGTGTTGGTACAAGTTAAGCCCTACACTTATTCTTTTTTCAAACCCACTCACACAAAAGGGAAATGAAAGGAGAACTGAAAGTCTTAGCTGAATTTCCATATAAGTAGCTCAACGGTCCCATTCTGTAGTTCAAACTTCCACATCCCGTGACAAAACGCTGCCTGTGAAGAAGAGTCATGGCTTCTGTTGTTTCCTTCCACCACTATATCTGTCATCTAGACCTCAGTTCCCTGCCTAGAGTGGTGAAGATCTACTCAGGAGTCTATTTCCAAGGTAAGCACAAGTGACTGCTTTTTTGCCAATATCAGAGTTGTCTTAACAGCTGGTGATGAAGATGAGCAATGGAGCTCTAAGATATGTAAGACTTGGGATATTCGCACCAACTTTACACAATCACAACCCTAACAGACAGCTGTATTTATAAGACAATGGTGGGGGTGGGGTGGGAATTAACTGTTAACATTCCTCAGAGAAAGAGTAGCATTTGCAAACCCTAATCAGAGGGTTTTTTAAGTGACTATGAATTATGTGGGGTTTTTTTTTCAAGTCAGGATCGACTTGAGAAACTGCAAGTCACTTCTGGTGTGAGAGACTTGGCCGTCTGCAAGAATGTTGCCCAGGGGATGCCCGGATGTTTTTGATGTTTTACCATCCTTGTGTTTAATGAGACAGTTTAATTACTGGTCAAAAGTAAACTCTATGGATCCCAGTAGACTTCCTCGCCTATGTCTAGAGCAGGGGTAGGGAACCTTTGGCCCTCCAGCTGTGGTGGACTTCAACTCCCACAATTCCTTGAGGCTCGGCATTGGGCCAAGGTAAGCCTTTGGGGCGAATGCCGAGCCTCAAGGAATTGTGGGAGTTGAAGTCCACCACAGCTGGAGGGCCAAAGGTTCCCTACCCCTGGTCTAGAGGATCAAGTCCAGCATGACCAGAAGTCATTGTGGATGGCAGCTCTGAATAATGAGCTGGCTGGATTCGGTCTGCCTTTGCAATTTCTGGGTGTTTTGGGTCCGGGGGCAGGGCAAGTGCTCAAGCAGCGCATTAGGGATGTCTATGCACAGCTGGACCTAGAGAGCATAGGTAGGTCTTCAGCCACAAGGTTTTTAGCTTCCCAAAAGGAATATTCATTTAAAGCACTACCCAACTATTACACTTCCTCTACCCTTAAGAAGAATATATACTAGGGCTAGGTTTGAACAACTCGGCATTAAGGTGCAAACCGGGCGCTACTGTAATATCCCAAGAAGTGAGAGATTCTGCGTCTGGGGAGAACAAACAGTGGAAGACATTGAACATTTCTTAATTGACTGTCCAGCATATACTGAACTGCGAGACAGATATTTACATCCAATATTATCCAACTGCAGGTCCCCCAACAGAAATGATATTCTGACATCCCTCTTGCAAGGGCAGGAAAGATCCAGCATAATCAGAGTAAGCCTTTTTATTCTGAAAGCTATTAAGAAAAGAGCAGATTTCCTGAAAGGAGAACCAGGAAAATAAGATTCTGACTATAAATAGAAGGTCGGCTGCTGTCTTCATCTTGTTGCCTTGTTTTTTACTCGTGTTCTATTTTGAAATGGTCATATGACTGATCAAATAAATAAATATTATTACCATCCTTGTAGGAGGCTTCTCTCATGTCTCCGCATGGGGAGCTGGAGCTGACAGAGGGAGCTCATCCGCACTCACTCCTGATTCAAACCTCCGACCTGTTGATCTTCAATGTTACCGGCACCAGGGGTTCCAACTGAATGATGCTATAGTATGCTTAGCTGTGATAGACTTATATGACTGGAAAGGCAGCAGAGCTAAGTTAGTTGTTAATTGGTGGAGAAATCATTAATCTATCTCTTCATCACACTAGAGAATTAATCCACTTTAAATCCAGTTTCTGCCTCCTGAAGAATTCAAGGGTTTGTAGTTTAGTGAGGCTGTTAAAGGTTCCTCCCTAAACTACAAACCCCAGAATTCTGCAGGAGGCAGCAACTGGATTTAAAGTGGATTCATTCTCTAGTGTGATGAGATCCCTAGTCATCTAGGTCAACTCTACCAGGTTATTTTGATCTCTGGATCTCTGGTTTTCATCTTTTATTTGATACAGGCCAATAGAAGAATACAGAAATAAGAAGAATACAGAAATAAGACTTATCACTAGGATACTCTGTATGTAAACAAGGCTAGAAAAATTTATCTATTTTACAGAAACTTTATTCCATTATGATAAGGTACACTTGAGCATGTTGCTTGTTTTGTGACATAATATGTGTTCCCTTCAGGACATCATGGGCAGAGTTCTTCACGCTGTAGAAATGTCTAGTTCTTGTTCTAGGCCTGTATTTAACAAGCTTAAATCACATAACAGTACATTTTGACTAAATATTAAGAGAAACTTCTTGATGTGCAGGACAATTCAGCATTGGAACCAGTTACCAAGTTCTGGATGTACTGCATCAAATAATGGGTCAGACTGGATTGCCAATAAAAAGAGCTCCCTCTAACTTTAACCTTAATATTGTATAATAACAGGCAGCAACCACAGGGACCTTTTAGAAGGTTTTTTTAAAAAAAAATTATTTTTTTTGCAGCTAGACTGGGGTTTTTTGTCTAGCGTGGTACCCTCGCCCTGAGACACCTGTTCATGCCAATAGTCCAATAATAAAGTGTTTATTAAATAATGACTGTAAAAAGGGGAAGAAAGGTTACATCCAAAAGTAGTAGACAGGATATAACCAGCAATATGCAAAAGTAGCCAGAGTACAATAAAAGTCATTCAAGAATGCCAAGGAACCATAATAGAAGCTAGAAATCCAAAACCATAGAAATAATCCAAGGTAAATTCCAGGAACACAAACACAGGAAGCTCTTCAAAGGTACATAGGCAAAGGCAGGAATATGAAACAAGAATCTGTACAATACAAGTCCCATGGACTTGAAAACTTGGTAACATTAACAGGAGACTGTTTACCCAATAGCAAAGCTGTCTCCTCTAAAATGCTTGGAACTGAACACCTAATTTAAACCAGTTCAGATTCCCATTAAATCATTCCAAAAACATCTGGGCCTCAAAGACTTATCTTGGAGGCGAGACCTCCTCGCCCCCCCCCCCCAATCTTCCCAAGGTGTCTTCTCTAGGGAAAGGGCAGTTTCACTTTCCTCAGCCTCGGTTGCTAGGGAATGACCTAAGGCAGCGTGATTTGAATGCAATATTCCTGCTTCTTGGCAGGGGGTTGGACTGGATGGCCCATGAGGTCTCTTCCAACTCTTTGATTCTATGTGTCTATGATTCTCGTTTAAAATAATCTTTATTAATTTTCCTTAAAAACATACAGTAACTGGGTGGGTAAGATAGAAGGGGGTAGAAAGAAATGGGGGGGGGGGTAGCAGCATAGAAAGGATAGAAAGTAGACTGGTATATGGCTGCCGACAATATATAGTGTGCCAGGTGTGGTAATGGAAATTTGAGAAAATGATTGTGAGGGAAGTGGGGTGTGATTGTTTTGAATCTGGCGTTGACTTCCCGGTATCTTTCGGAGGTTCTTCCTGTTCCTTCGTTCCTTCCCTCAATTTTACTTCTCCTCTTTCATTTCTCTTCTGCTCTCCCCTAATTCGTATCTTCTTTCAGTTCTTTCATGTAATTATGTTCATATTTTTTTCCTCTACTAAATATGTTGTTACTTGTTTCCAGTCTATTTCGGCTGTTGGAGTACCCCTTTTTTTTGAAAGTATATAAGTTAATTTGTCCATATTTCTTATATCAAGAATCTTCGTTAGCCATTCCTCTTCCTCCGGGTGGGCTTTTTCTTTTCAATGTTTTGCGTAAATTATTCTGGCTGCTGTCGTTAAGAGGAATAAGATTTTGTCCTTATTTTTTTCCCATTTTTATGTTATGCATCCCTAATAAGACGATTTCCGGTTTCCAAGGTATATCGATCATCAGTATTCTTTGTAGCGATTTTTGTATTTTTTCCCAATAAATTGTTGCTTTTTGGGCAAGTCCACCATAAGTGGTAATATGTCCCTTCCTGTTTTCCGCACTTCCAACATTTTGTGTTCGTGTTTTTGTTGAATTTCCCTAACCTATGTGTGGTTATATTACCACCTATGGGCTATCTTAAACCAATTTTCTTTGAGTTCCATTGCTTTCAAGTATTTTAGCTTCTTATTCCATATTTCTTCCCATTCTTCTTTCTTTATCTCTCTTCCTAGGTTGTCCTTCCACTTCCTCATATATGTTTTCTCCTTTTCTGTGTCTCCCTCTCCTTCTAAGAGTTTTTTTTTATATAAGGCAGCGTTTCTCAACCTGGGGGTCGGGACCCCTGGGGGAGTCATGAGGGGGTATCAGAGGGGTCACCCATCAGAAACTGCAGTATTTTCTGTTGGTCACGAAGGTTCTGTGTGGGAAGTTTGGTCCAATTCTATAATTGATGAGGTTCAGAATGCTCTTTGATTGTAGGTGAACTATAAATCCCAGCAACCACAACTCCCAAATGTCTTGGTCAGCCCCTCTTCCTTTTTCCTTCCATTTTTATCTTCTCCAAGCTTTCCTATCTTCTCATTATGTGGCCAAAATACTTCATCTTTGCCTCTAATAGCCTTCCCTCCAATGAGCAGCCAGGCATTATTTCCTGGAGTGTGAACTGGTTGGATCTTCTCGTGGTCCATGGCACTCTCAGAATGTTCCTCCAACACTACAGTTCTGAAGCATCTTCCTTCGCTCAGCCTTCCTTATGGGCCAGCTCTCGTATCCATAGGTTACTACGGAGAATACCATTGCTTTAACTATGCCGACCTCCGTTGCCAGTGTGATGTCTCTACTCTTCACTATTTTATCGAGATTGGTCATTGCTCTCCTCCCAAGAAGTAAACGTCTTCTGATTTCCTGGCTGCAGTCTGGGTCTGCAGTAGTCTTTGCATCTAGAAATACAAAGTGTCATTGCCTCCACGTTTTCTCCCTCTATTTGCCAGTTGTCAGTCAGTCCGGTTGCCATAATCTTTGAGTTTTTTTATGTTTAATTGCAACCCAGCTTTTGCACTTTCTTCTTTCACCTTGATTAGAAGACTCCTCAGCTCCTCCTTGCTCTTGGCCATCAAAGTGGTATCATCTGCATATCTAAAGTTGTTAATGTTTCTTCCAGCAATTTCTAACCCTGGCCTTGCATTTGTAAAGCCCCACACATTGCATTATGTGTTCTGCATACAAGTTGAATAGGTCAGGTGGGAGTAGACAGCCCTGCCATATGCCTTTCCCAGTCTTGAACCAGTCTGTTGTT